TATATATATATATACATATATATATATATATATATATACACATATAGATGATACATATAAACAATTGTATAATTTTACAAGTACAATGTGTATTGGATGTAATAATATGTGTTGTAGGTGAAGTTCACAGTAAAATATGGAATTATGTATAATTCCTCTACAATTTTTATCTTCTCTAGAAATTATATATTTTATATGATGTGTAATACAGACAAATTACCTTAGCATATACATTTCATCACAATCACATTTTAAAATTATTTGTCCACTCCATTGACAGAATACACATCTTTCTTGCTTCAATTAACAAATTAAAAGAACAAAATTAACATAGAACATAAATCTGGTTCGTAACAAAGAAAGAGAATACCAATTGCAGTATAATGCATAAGAGATAAAAATGAGTAGCAAACAAAAATAACGTGTATAAATCAAAATACATTACACACTTATGATATATTTAAATCTACAAAGTATAATGCTCCACAATTTATACATTACATGATTTTTGCATACTTTGCAGACTTTGATATATTATAAATGTATAAAAGTCCACGGTTTCGTTATGAGAACAGACTGAAGAAAAAAAGAAAACGATTAATTATTAATAGTGAGAAAATTATTGCAACAATTATTATTTAATAAGACATACAATTTATCAATAAACTCAAACATGTATTTCTTATTTAAGTTATTGAAATCTTACTATATCAATGCTAAGTATTTCAATCCTTTGCACTTATCATGTTATATATAAAAAGTGAACAGTCTGTGAACTTAACATAAACTAACAAATATTATTAACATTAACATTTATTATGTTATTGTTTATTAAGTATACAGTACCACATTGAAATATATTTTATAAATATATTTAATGGAAAGTACAAAGAAAAAAAAGGAATAAGTGCAAAGTTTACAAAATTTTGAATTGTAAAGTGCAATTTTTAGTTTCATTCATTTATTATTTATGCTTCTATTCAAGAATACAAAAAAAAGCACTTCGTAACGCGCACAAGGCACAAGAGGTTTGTCCTCGGTAGCGCGAGTTTATAAAATCGAATAAATATCTTTTGTTTTGTCGCTTTTTACAGACAAGAATCTAGTATAATTTTCTAATGTATCGTAAATATGTCGATTTCGTCGCAGTACCAATAATTTAATTTTCTGTACAAACGTATTTATATATATGTGCATCATTTCGTAAATAAGATTATGTATATATCTATATGTTACGTGTGTATATACATATTACAAATCTAGTCTTTTTTAATTTGTACAATTATTTTATAGAAGTTAATTGTAAACATAGGATGCACTCCAAAGTAAATCAATACTTTTTTTTTAGGAGCACGACTAGACTAGGGATTAGGTGTTAGTTTAAAGTTGATTCACCTGTAGTAATGTTCGTACTTGTATTGGCATTTGCCATGACTGCAAACGTTTATCTTTGCTACCTGCTATGATCTGTGAAAAGTAAATATTTACATTTTATATTAAGTCACTTTTACATTCACCTTATAATAATCTTTTATAGTGTAGTCTCACTATATGGCCCACTAAACGACTGCCCCTGTATACTGACTTTCACGTACACAAATAGTATTCCCCCACCCTTTTAGTGGATGTAAGTACATTATTAGCGGAATTCCCACTCTGTTTATATGATTCTTTCTATAATTTTTTGTTCCTACAGTTCAATGTAAGGCCATAAAACGAGACGTGTTCCACTGTTTTGATAAGATAAATACCTTATTGTCTATAACTTCCATACTTAATAACATGTTGCCTGGTCCAGCTATACTGCACACGAGTCGATGATCCTATAATATATTTAAAGTTTAGTATAATGTTTTACAATATTGTATACAATATTGTACATTCTAGATACAATATTAACCTTTGTATCAAATACATAAATATTTCCGTCGTAACATCCAGCAAACAGTAATTGTTTGTAGAGACGCATACATACAATTCCTACTCCTGCATCATACTGTAATATTTGTTCGCCATTCTACAAAAATAAAATTAATATAAATTGGACATTTACAGGCAATATATCGTCGTAATATTTATTTTACTAACCGTAAAATCAAATACGGGTATAGATGTACTACTCGTACCACAATAAATTAAATTATTATCACGCATTAGACTATACACTGTGTGACTCTTTTGACCGCAAATTGTACGAAGAAATAGGCCATTTTGAGCATCACGTATAGTTATTGGCTGACTACGCGATGCTACAATGAGAACTTTTCGTGGACCCTCGTTAGTTGCTTTTAAAGCTAGTACAGATTTATCTGAGAACTGTATACTGTTTCCTTTAATAACACCTGACTGGAACATTAAGTAATGTTTTCTTTTACAAGATTGTAAAAAATAATCTTGTTTATAATATTTTCTGACAGACCTTCACGTGGTAACGTGATACATGACCAGATTTTGTACCAATAAAGATTATCCCCCATGCTTCATCCATACATTGTATCGGGCTACCTACGTCTGCAGTGTCTCTTACTTGTGCTCCAGTCTAATAACATTTGTAAGAACAGTATTATGAACATTGTTTTATGTTGGTACATATTATATTTTGATATATCTTAATGTAATTATAACGTAGCAATGTTTTACTTACTGTGATATTATAACACCGTAAAGTTCCATCCAATGAACCAGAAAACATCCATTCTTTACTAATATCCGCACCCATTGTATTATATACATATAAACAAGTTACTGCTGCCATATGACCTTTATAGATGTTTAATATTCCATTGGATGCTTGATTATACCTATATACTCTGCCATCCTCACTTGCAGCTAGGAATGAATTCTCAAAAACCTAAAGGGCATATTTATTCTTGCTGTTATCTGATTAAATGCAACCAAAGATTTATTAAAAAATAGTATTATTTCTATTTTAATCTTTTATTTATCTGTACAATATAAAAAATGATATAGATTTGCATTGAAATATACAACGAATCACTTATTAAATAAATAATAATGACCAAGGTAAAGAAGGATAATGAATGAAATCTTTGAAAATAAAAATAATTGACGATTTTATTAATACTATTTCTATCCATACACTTGTTGCAAATAAAAATATAAAATTTATACTGTAAAAATATAACACAAAACATAAACTTGTAAATGGATAATAAAAAAAATAATACATATTTTGTTGAAAGACTCTACATTTGTCATAAAAAAAGGAACACACTGAAATTAAAACAATAAAAAGAACGTATCAATAAAAAGAAGCAATAGTCATGCATTATCAATGTTTTTTTTCATTCTTCTTTTATATTGCTTTCGTTTCTTTACCTTAATATCTAAAATCGGTCCTTTGTGAACCGTATATTGTATCCTTGGTAATTCTTTATCATCGTTCGTATCTATCACAGTCAATGTTGACTCAGAATTACTACACTGTTGGTTTATAGTCGACGTCGTTTTTTCTTCTACGATCTCGATCTCCGGTTTATCACAATTCTCTGGAACATTTATTACAACCGGCTCTTTCGTTAAAATTGGCATAACATCAACTTGAAGATTCGTATACTCTTCATTATCATTTTCAATATCAGCAACATCTATTTCATTATTCGATGGTTGTGTTTCTTCAAATCTGACCAATTTTGCTGGTTGACTTTGCACACATTCCTCGGTTATTGAAATTTTTCGTTTTACACATGTACTATTCAGTAAGTCTTTGGTTGACGTTGATTGTACAATATTTGTAACAGAATCTGTTTGAGTTGAATTAAGATATGGACAAGAGTTAATTGTAGAAATTCCATATTTTTGCAATACATTGGGTCTCACATTTGGATTTAAAATTGTATGTTTGCAATCTACCAATCTCACTTCACAATTCTTTGTTTCTGATACAATATACTGTTTGCAGTTTTTAATTTCTTTTACCGATTCATCTATTGGAATTAATTGGTCAGTGGGAATTTCAACCACCGGAGGTCCAGGTCTATACTTTTTCTTGTTAAACACTGACTTCTGAGGCTTGAACTTTTTAGCATTCAACTGTGCATTCTCCATTTCTTTCTCAGGCAGTGGTGTATCAGATATTTTTGGAAAAATCGTTTGAACATTTTTCTGACATGGAAGTTCTTGTTCTATACCCTGAGAATTTCCATCAGTTTCCAATTTTATATGTTTTACAGTTTCTTCTGTATACCTTGAACTTCTTCGAACAGCAACTTTACGGTTTCTTTTACGTTTGGGCACTCTTTTACTTGATGTTTCTCCAGCTTTTAACATATCTGAACTGCTGTTATTATTTTCTTCACTTACAGCTTTTGATTTTTGTATACTTTTTTGTTTCTTGAGATTCATAAAGTACTCATTGTCAGATACATAATTAACTTCTTTAGAAGTATCAGTGACATGTTTTTGGTCAGAAATTGAAGAATTGTTCTGTTTATTTTTCTCTCCTGTGAAATTATAATCTTCCTTCTCAATTTCATATGTAGTTAAATTTTTACAGTTATTAGATTCAACTAAATTTTCATTTTTCTTGGAGTTCTGCAACATTGTTACCATTTGTAGTGAAGGTTCATCCGTTGTAAGATTCTTTTTAATATTAATATCTTTTTTTTGTACATTTAATTCCTTTAATTTATCTACTTTTTCTTCGTGTAGGTTTGCTTGTGAAATATCAAATGTATTACGATTGTTATTTGTATTATCTGAATCCTCAATTAAATGTAATTGATTAATTTCTATGCCATCATTCTCCACAGTTTTTTGTATCAGAGGTTCTATTATATTGTTTTCAATACTTACAGTTGTTTCAGACAAGTTACTTGTACATTTTGATGTTACCTCAGCTTCCAAATTTTGTTCACCTGATTCTTCATAGTGTTGAGATTTATCAGAAGGCAATATTAATTGCAAATTGTTTTTGTCAAGATTTTTACTTGCATTATCTTTAGTACTGTTTAATATGGAGGAAAATACTGTTTGGTTTTCTTTTTCTTCTAACGATTTTGATATTGCATTCCTTTCTATGTCAAGTACAACATCTCCAGAATCACCACTTGATTGTCTTTCTGATCCTTCCATGTAAAGCTGATCTGTTCTATTTTTTGCGACAGCATTTATTACTTCAACCACATTTTTCCAAAGTTGTTGATCAGTATCTGTTTGTTCTGGTTGCTGATCTCGAGAATTAAGTAACTTTTTCTTTTTATGTAATTTTTTAGCGCATAGTGCAGACAGTGGTAATTCTTCTTCTTCGGGAGTTAATGTATTTACAACCTCTGGTACATTCTGCAGTTTCTTCTTTTTCTTCTTTCGTGATTCAATTTTTGTTTTTCGCGTTTTTGCTATTTCTTTTCTGTACGTTTCCTCCAAAAGGGCAAGACCTGTATTTAATTTCTTTTTATTATGAGTACTTGAATTCTGAAGAAGAGTATCCCAAGTACTATCATCCGAATATATTAGTGACCTCTCTAGTATTTTATTATCTAATGGTTTTATCACTGAATTTAAACTTAAATCTTTAACATTAGAAGTTTCTATTATGTTTTCATTATCTTTTGCTGAACAAGTTTTCTCAATCTTTGAATCTGTAACATTGGTGAAGATCGTAGATTCTGTTGATTCGTCAGATTTTTCATTTACTTTATCAATATCTAACTCTGCTTTATCATTGTTCAGTGTATTCTCTTTATTAACTTTTTGTGTAGATATCCTGTTGGAGTCTTCTTGAGTATCAATTTCATGTAATGAATTGTGACTGAAGTCTTGTTCATTAGATTGTTTACTTTCTACAGCTGTCTTTTGTAAATCAGTGGTGGACATATTATTATCTGATTTGTTTTCCAATTTTTTAATTGTCTTTTCAGATTTATGTTTCTTCTTCTTTTTTGAAGTTAATAATTTATTACTACTTGTATTTATGATTTCTTCTTCATTAGAATCACAAATGAAAGTATGAGATTCCTTCTTTTCAGTGTTATGTTCCTGTTTAGAAGATGCCTTAGATGTACCACATTGTGTAGAATTAACCATAGTATCCTTCACAGATGCAGTTCCTGTACTTCTTTTGGCACATGGATTTGTTACAGGACTAGTTTCAAGATTCTGAATTAATTGTGACATTAATACAGATGGTGTTCGAGGTCTCACTATGGGTACTTCTATTTCTTTACTTGTGTGTACCATATTGTTTTGGTGCAAATTATTCTCAGTTGGTGTAGTGCCATTTGTCAGCATTTGATATAAAGTCATTTTCTCTGTCATTAACTTGTGAATCTCAACATCAATCTCAATCATTCTGGCCATGATAGTTTCTTTCGTATTTGGATACTTAACTTCTGTAATATCTGAATTTACTGTTTCCGCTATCAACTGTTTTGAAACATCACGCTTCTTTCGTTTTGTATGTTTCATTTTAGATTTATTTTTTACTTTATGTAACGTTTCATTTCCTTCTCTTTGGTCTAATTTTTTTGAAGTTGCTTTACTTACACTTTTTAATTTACCTTCTTCTGCAGTTGAATCGAAACGTACATCTTTATTAGTAGGTGTTTTTATTTCAGATGTGGTTGTTGAAACTAATTTATCTACTAAACTATCGTTCAAGTCTCGTTTATTTCTTTGTTCGCTATTATTTAATTGTTTGTTCGATTTTAGAAACTCAACTTGCGTTTCAAATGACGGTGTATCCACTGCAGATAAATTTTCTAATGATTTTCTTATAACAGTTTTTGTTGGAACATTCAACTTTAGTAAGGTCTCACTTTCAATAGAAGCAGCTCTTGATCTTGTTACCTTAAATCGTTCAGAATTATGCTGTGAATTATTTTTTGGTATATTAGCGATATCTGTTTCAATATTCTGCTTAGTTATTGCTGGAATTACTGGAACAATGGAATCAACTAATTTAGAATTTTTTGTTATTTCTAAATTTAATTTAGAAACCACATTTGTAGAATTTATAATTGGTTCTTCATGAGTGAATTCTTTTGAAAGAATATTCTGATTTTCCTCTCGATCATTATTTTTATCAAAGACTTCTGATAAATCTTTAAAATCAAGTGAATTGAAATTTGATGGTTTAACACTATTTGTAGAATCTTTTTCTTGTTGATGTTTACTCGTAAATACATCTGCATCCCTTGCAATACAGTCTTCAAGATCTAAATCAAGTGCACTTAATTTTTCAATTGATTTTTCATCTGCATCATCTATATACTCATCCAAGACAATAAATGGTTCACTATCTTCGCCAAATGTATCCTGATTGTGTATATTCATTATAGGCGAATTATCATTGTGTTTTGTATTAGCATCAGAAGATTCAGCTTGCTCTTGCAGCGTATTACTATCTTCTGTTTCTAACGTTTTCATACCAATTTCAATTTTATCTGTAACGTTTGAATCATCATGAATTATTCTACTAGTAATATCACTTTCAGTAAAACTTGGTTGGTTTTCTGGTAAGTTGCAAACCGGCGATGTTTCATTACTGTCTTTCCGTTTTTTAGAAGACTCAATGTCAGTAGTTTGTTCACTGTTTGCTAAATCTATAACGGATTTATTATTATGATTTGATTGTAAGCACTGCTCAGGATATTTTTGAATATTTTCTCGACTATTCTTGTTACCTAACTCAGATATCTGATGAATAGTTTCCTTAATGGATTCCACATGAAAACCTTTAAATGGACTTTTTGGACTGTTTGGAGATTTAGCTCCCAGATCTTTATCGTAATCACTTGAATTTTGTTCATCTTGCAACTGAAGCATAGGTTTATTATTATTTTGGTTTTTAAGATTATTTACTTTTGCTTCTAGATGTGTATTGCTCTTCTGACTAACAACTTCTGAGGCTTGTACATCTTGTATACTTGAAGTTACATTATTTTGAGTTCTGAGAGTTGTTAAATTTTCCATTTCAGCTGGATACACATCTTTCATCATACTTTTTTCGATGTTCTTAATACTAGTTTTCTTGTTTTTCAAATTTATCGAACTTTGAATCTCTGTCGATTCTTGATCCGTACGGTGCTGAACATTTGCATTGACCTGATTTGTAATATCATTATTAGTAGATAGTACATGGGCAGTTTCTTCTGTCATGGAACAAGTATTCATTTCTTTGTGTTTAGGTTCGTTATTAATTATTAATTCTGTATTTGAAAATGTTTCAGAATGTGTAATTTGTGGTTCAGATAAACTTACACATTTTTTACAATTATCTATCTTTTCAGTTTTAGTTTGATTAGTACTACTAATAAGTGATGACACCTGTATACCTTCAATCACTTTTTTATCAGCCTGTTTTTCTATTGTCAAAGATTGTTTCTTTTTTTCCATAGATTTTTTGATCTTTTCTTTTTTCAATTTCAATTCTTTACTTCCTTCTGATCGAATGTTTTTAAATTTAGTGGATTCAACAGTAGATGGTAATGTTTTTAATTTCTTACGCCCATTATCAAATTCTCTAACTGCAGTTGTATGTTTAGAAAAAGATTGCAAATTGTTTTTATGTACCTTATCAGAATTATGAAGAGTATTTATTTCAGACTCAATTAGTTCAGTTGTATTCTTCTTTTTTTCATTAGACCTTGACTCATTGACATTTTTTAATTGTACAGGAACTAAAGATTCTTTATTCTTTTGGGAACTAATTATGTTTTGACATTTTTCTCCTGCATCAGTTTTCTGTTTAGCTTCTGGAATACTTGCTGTTTTAGTTTTATCTAATCGTGGATCTTTCAACAATCCTTTATTTACATCACCTTCTATTGCTTTTATCTCCTTTGTTATATTCAATGATTCAGTATTGGAGTTACTTATCGGTGAAATATGATGCAAATTTTTAGAATACGCAATAGAACTTTCTGAATTTTCCTTTGCCATAGCTTGTTCTTTCAATCGCCTCTGCAGTGTGCGTTCTTTGTATGCTTTTATGTCTATTTTCTTATAACCACTTTTAGTTTCTGTTAGAGTAGCACCCGCCGCAACTATTTTCTGATCAATGGACTGATTATTTTCATTAGTTTCGTTAACAGAATTTGAACTATTACACATAAGTAATTTAGTATTCACCTCATTGTTATCACTATTAGTTTCAATCTGTGGTTGAACGAACAAAGATGGTTCGGTTATATTTACAGAAACATTAATGTGATGAAAAGAATTATTCATAGACGGAACAGTATCTATTCGTTCATTATTATTCTCCACAGTTTCATTATGTTTAATTTTCTCTGTTTGATCTTTCATCTTTTTACTGTCCGCGTTTATTAAATTATTCTTTGTAAATGCAACTGTCTTTTCTATGATTTGTTTCTCTTGAGTATTACTAAACTCTGGCATTTGTTTTAATTGTGCTTTCGTTTTTGGTTGCACAGTTATAGAAAGAACAGTTGGCTTATTCCTATTTTGTGACGATGTAATATCACATGTAACTCTAGAAAATTGTTGTTTCTCTAACTGTGAATTTTGAGATTCAGTTCGTGAAATCACTTCAACTGGCTTATTAGCCAAATTGGGAACAACAGAAGAATGATTAATTTCATTGTTAAGTGGAACATTCTCCTGGAAAGTACTTACTGGTTCCTCTTTAATAATCACTTCCTTTTTTATTTCATTTTCTGTGAGTAACCGGAACTCTTCCATTTGTTCACTGGATCTTGAAGTATCAGAGTGAGAATTTCTATTTCTTCGTTTTTTCTTTTCCTTCTTACGTTTCTCTTTTCTATCTTTTTTTCTTTTCTCACGTTTACGAGATTTGCGTTCCTTGTATTTACTCTTCTCTTTCCATTTCTTCTCTATCTCTGCAGTCACTTCGTCTCTTATCGTTTCATTGACTGAACGTTTTTTTGCTATCTTTTCTTTCTGCTTAATAACTTTCAACAGTTTTGTCACATCTGGAGCGACAACAGTTTCTTCGTCGCTATCGCTTGAACTACTCATGCTAGCGCTACTGCTACTTCCTGACTGGTCATCCCTTCGTATCTCTTCTGATTCATTTGTACATACACCTGAATTACTTATAGAAACTTCAAATGTTGAGGGACTCAAGCTTAAATGTCTCATTGGTGAATCTGATGAACAATACCTTTGTGCACGACAATTTCTATTTTCTTTATTTCTTGTGTCTTCCATACTTAAATTTTCAGCGCTACTAGAGGCACATAGTCGTGTAACTGCTAAGCTTGCTGTAGCATTTATAGATCCATACTTAGCTTCCCATTCTTCTTTTGTTAAATTTCTGAATGTATCTGGATCCTCTTGCTCTTTTCTGTACCATCTTTCATACCTTTCAGATCTAAAGGTACCTCTATCTTCTGAACTGCACTTACGTGTTCTTGAATTATCCAAATCTGTACTTTTACCAAGCGATTTAACCCGTGCAATTCCAGCTGAAAAAATATCATCAAGATCAGCAACTGTTTTATTAGGAATTTGCAAAAACGCGTTACATTCTAAAGGTTTTGATACTGTTTGCATTAACAAGGAACTTTTGCACATTTCATTGTTGGATTGAATCATACTTTGTTTTGTAATTTGTTCTGACTTATCAGTAACTTCTGACAATATATCATCCAAGTCAGCTTCATTGAATAACGGTTGCTGTTTCTTACATGTGTTTTCGGCTTCAGAATTTAATTTATTTGTTAATGAACTTTTTGATGAATTGACATTATCCTGTGAAAGAGAAAGATAAGATAATTCTTCCTCGTTATACGACGAATTATCTTCTCCAGATTCCATATACATATTTTCATATCTTGGAAAGTTTGTCAGATGCTGAATTTTAGTTTCTTTATTTAAACATTTAAGGGTATTCATGTTTGAAATATCATTTTGATCTGTACTTGGAGTTTTATTAACATCTGAGTTTTGTGCTTCAGGAAATTCAAGATCAAATGGCATAGGATCAAGCTGTAAAACTTCACTTAAATGATGAATGAATTCTGTTGGTAAATCTGTGATACCCACAACAGCACCTGGATCCAGCATTGCATTTAACTGGTTCATAAATTCCTCTCTATCATATTCTTTCATTTTTTCATCTTCTGTGTTCCTCATTTCTAAAGAAAGAGAAGGTCTTTTCTCTTTTACTAAATGTTTCATCGCAATATCGAACTTGCGAAGACTCGAATTATTAACCATATTGCAAATATCATTTTTACTCATCTTTAAAAAACGACTAATCACTCTATTTTTCCACATAGATTCTGAAGTAGGAGCTTCCACTTTTTTAGACTCCTTTCTTGACTTTTGATTCTTTTGCAAATTCATGGTCATATTTGGTATTATTGCATTTGAAGAATGTAGATGTGACTTTTCCAAACCTTTGGTATGATCTTGATGAGTATTATTTAATTGTTCATGTACAGAAATGTTTGTATTCTGTACCTGATATCCTGAGTTTGTTTCAATATTATCTTCACTTTGTTTATTCTTATCTTGATTAGTATTATTCCTTTTATTTTCAGGATATTTTTTAGATATCACCTTTTGTTTATCATAATTTTGAGTTGAATCTTGTTGGCAAGTTTCCTTATTTTCTTGATTGCTTATAGGAGTCCTGTGCCATTCTTCTGATTTGTGGATTTTCTTTGCTTTAGAATTTAAATTAAATACCACTTTAGGTCGTACTTGATCTTGTGTTAACAATGTCTCTTCAATATTTTTATTTCGATTTTGTTCTTTCTCATTTGCTTCAATATCTTCTGGTTTTTCATTAATTAACTCTGGTCCACAAACTGCACCTTGTTTACATTTTTTTTTTCTAATTTCTTTTCTCTTCTGTTTCTTTAATGCATTAGAATGTACTTCATCTGTTACTGAAGAATGGGATGCACTTTCATTTGGTATAGGAATCTCTGATGGTGTTAATGATACTTTTTCGTTTTCTGCTTCTTCTGTCATGTTCATTATTTGTTTAGCAAATTCCATTGCTTCTTGCATATCTTCTAATCCATCATCCATACTTATACCTTGACTAGGATTTGAGTTTTGTTCCAATGGAGATTCTTTTGGTGGAGGTAGTGGAACACTAGTAATATTTATAGATGACGGAAGTAGTGTAAATTCTCTCATCATCATTTGTCCATTATTTGTTTGTGGCAAAATAGGTGGAAAATTTGTTTGTACAGTAGAAATATAAGGTTGATGAGAAGGTATATTCACCAGAGGTGGTCGAGGAAAATTTGAAGCTATACTAAAATCCGAAACAGATGATGTTTCTATTAAATTTATCATGTTTGATCTTGAAGCATCTAATGGTGCAATCAAATTAGAACGTTCCTTTGAAGAAAGTCGCGGGTCAAAGATTGGCGGTGGCTGAAGAGTTTCATCTCGTTTATGAACTTTTGGTGGTGGTTGTTGAGGATTGAATTCAGGTAACTTATCATTAGTTGTTGTTACATTTGGAATTCGAAGGAGTGGTCCTCTTGAATCAAATGTAGGATGTGGTTGTATCGTATTTATACCTCGAGGAATATGTACTGTTTGATTTCTTGAATCTAAAGAAGATATAACTTGCATATTTTCTTGCATATTAGATGATTCAATAACTTTTGGTCTTATATTTGGAGGAGGTTCACTTGGATCAAATGCAGGAGGAAAATCTTTAGGTGAAAATGACGGTAATGCAGCGTGTTGAGAATTATGGCTTGAAACAGGTACATTTGGTGTGAATGGTGGTCGTGCTCGTGGATCATATACAACTGATACTAAATCATTTGACTTGAATGGTGTAACGTGTCTTGGTGGAGTTATACGATTACCATGAAAAGGTAATCTTTGAGGTCCATGAGGAAATAAATTTTTTCCATTTTGTTGAAATGGCCATCGACATCTAGGGCCTTGAATTCTTGGAGCAAACCTAGGAGGCACATTGAAAACTCTTGGTTTAAAAATAGGTGTATTATTCAATTTTTTATCGCCATTCGATTTATTTACTTCACTGAAATTTCGACATACCAAAGAGTTTGAATCACAGGCAATGTTCAAATTAATGTCTTCATTAGAAGGTGTATTATTAAATAAACCTTTTTGAGAAGGATCAGATATGTTTACCAAATTCTGACATGGTTCTTTATGAGATATATTAGTTTGTACATCATTCTGAATATGATCATTTTTAACTAACTGTATTTCTGCTGCATCAATTTGGTGTATAATAGTATCCTGTACATTACGTTTGTTTGTATCGTTTATGTCTGTTTCAACTGGATTTTGATTTTGTGGAAAATCTACTTGTAATGCTCCTTGATTATTTGAAGCTGTTTCTGACACAGATTTTGTTTCCACATTACTTAAATTTGAAGATCTTTCTGTTATTAGATCACTAATTAACTCTATAGATGTCGAGTTTATTAAATTTTCTTTTAAATTTGATGATTTTTCATTAATATCATTCGAGTTTGAAAACATTAAATTTTCTGTAACATTATTGCACTGCAAATTTAAATTATCCGAGTTACATTCAGGATCAGGCAAATCATTAAGCAATTTTTTATGATGTTCATCATTTTCTAGTACATCTGACTGATTCAAAACATTTTTATTCTGTACGAAATTCAAGGTATTTAAAGATTCCTCTTTATTTTCATCTACAATGATAATTTCATCATTTGTATTTATAATTTTAGACTTCTCTTCAAAAGTAATTGTAATTTCATCATCATTAAATGTTTCATCTGTACTATCAAGTTTTAAATTATTACAATCAACTCTGCCTATATCTTTAAAGTCTGTAAAAGTCAAGTCAAGTTCTGGTGGCTCATGTCTAAGTTCAGGAATAACCTTGTTTTGAATATCCTCTTCAAAGCCATTATTTGGTAAAATAGATAAATCATCTTCCCAAAAATTTGTAAGATCTTCCTCTGTTATAGAAGATAATTTTTGCTTCAACTTATCAACTGTCTCTGTAATCTTTTGCTGCCGTTCTTCTTCAGAACCAAGTAAAGGAATATGTGTAACTGTTATAGATTTATCTTCCACTTGTTCCTCTTGTAATAATGGTATTCTGGATGCAGGATTTCTTATAAAACCCATGCAAAACTGAGGAGCAGGTGGTCTACCTGGACCAGAAAATCTTACTATTCCACGACCACTTACTGCACGTCCTCTGCTATTCGGTCGAAACTGTAAATTACCTCTGTATTGTGGATGAGGATGAAAATTTTTATTTTGTTGCCATGACATAAACTTAGGATGCTCTATCCATTTTTCAAGTCCAGGTAATCTATGAGGTGGTCGTGGATAGTTGAACCCAGGATGGGGAAATCGGGGCCCATTAAATCCATTGATTGGACCATTCGATCGAGCACCCCGTAGTCCAAATCCTCTTCCCCTGAATCCACTGCTGCTCATCACACTGTTGATTATGTCACTTTAATTATTGTAGTGCATTTGAGTCTAAAATTTGTTTAATAGTCATATGACTCTTAAAACGCACTCACGTTATAAAAATATTTACATATTGCTTAATTTGCTTAGTTACGATTTTATCATTTCATGAAAAGAAACGTTTTATAACAACTTGAAAATCTATAATAACACACATTTTAACGTTTTCATAATTACTGATGTAAATATTTAAAAAATTATAACCTATTGTAAATAACAGTCAAAACTGAACAAGAAGTGTACGAAAAAAGAATATCCTTATTCTTTTATATTTTTGACTAAATTGTTTAATTATTATGAATTTTTACCATCTATATTATAATTGACTTGAACATATTTTATTATATTTCTATAAGGAAGATGTATGACCTTTTCTTCGTAAGCGAAATAACAACAAAACGACGTGCACTTATTTAAATATAATCGCCATGTTGCACATTAAATATTATCGACTTCGATAAATTACACACACTTGTCTTTTAAATGCTTCTATTCAACTCAAATGTTTTTTTCTTTTAAATTGGAACTTCTTTACTCGACAGTCAACGATCAAATACTATTATATGTCGCGTCCACACGACTACGTTCGTAACATATAACCACCGTGTTGTATTCCATTTAATAATTACTCTATGCTATATTCATGTTTAAAAACTCCAACTTAGTCATGAAGTTACGAACACATAAGATTGTTCATAAAAGTCACATTTATGGATATTATTTTTTGTACTAATATTGAGTCATCAGAGAACATACTTACTCAAAGGCAAATTTCATTCATTCTGCGCATGTTGCCTTTGAAAAGGCTAATATCTCAGAATAATACGCAAGCGCTTAAACGATATTTACGATGCCAAACGTGTATACATAGTGATCTTCTTTTCGGTATAGTCACTTACTGTTCTATGATACCTCATATGCTTCATATAGAAATAAAAGATTTCCAAATCCATAGATTTGTACATTTTTGAATTCTCAGATTTACAAATTTCTAAACTTTTGTGTAACTGCTGGTGAAAAGCGTATGATCCAGCCTCCCTCACGTTGCTTCATTTTATGATTCATGTATTTTGGTCCACCGCATATATAACCATAAAATGCGAAGTAGATAGTAGATTGGCATCACATTAGCGATGAGAAGTCTTCTGAATTTGTCGAGATGCGCAAAACAAGTACGTTCTCTTATGGTAGACACTGATTAATGATATTTTAAACAACTGTAACTGAAACGCATTACTAAATCAGACATATAAAATAAAAATTGTTAATTTACTTATAATAAATTTATTAAAAAGGTACTTCAATGTTGAATTCCTTATTGTTAAGTATCACACCTTACAATATTACGCTTAGTACAGTAATGTTCTTAATTATGCAATTACACATGCATACTTAAAAATATTCTTAATTTTACTTCGACAATTATTCTACAATTAAATTTATTTTGTTAGATGTATTTTCGTTAGATGTTATTTTCATTATACATAAATATATGTATATATAATTAAAAAATTTCATTGAAGTTCTAATCAAAAATGTTTAGCAATAACAATACAGATAACATTTGTTTTCACATTTGTTTGTAATCATTACATTTATTTTTTGTGTTCTTATCTAAGTTCATGACAGTTTTTGCGCATTTTGGAACACACCAATAGCAAATTTTAGAACACATCTGTCGCAATAATCTACATAGCCACTGACATACTAGTCTGTACAGTCTGCTTACTATCACGAGAGTCGGGAGTGAATATCAGAGTTGTGACTTTCCGTTAGAGGATGGCCGCGATGCTATCCAACTGTTCGCGGTTTGTGCCTCGTATAATAACAAGAATTAGTATATCACAAACCAAGGTGAGTTTTATAATTAAGTTCTTTTCGTTTTTTGAAGCACACCCAAGATACATATGACACCTACATTAAGCGAAAAGAACTTAACGCCCTTTGAAGTAGCGAACGTGTAGCCAAGGTTGTCGAAATACTACCCTTATTTTCAACATTGATTATATAATAGTATCTTAACACTGCATGACTTGAATCGTCAATAAAAAGAATGAAATTTCACGTGACCGTCAAATACGAACTCTTCTTTTAGTTAAATAAGATTTCGATTGCCTTCAAGCTGTTTATAAGTCAAGGTTTCTGTTATAATTGAAACAATACCTATTTTTATCTTCTCCTTCCATATACCTTATTTTTACATCATAATGTATGAACAGTAGAACAGTAAGGAATGATTTATTATATGTATTAATCTTTATTTTAGGTTGTGAGACCTTTACATAGGCAAGGTAAGACTAATGGATATTAAAAATGATGAAACTTAAAGGAGTGGTGAGCTATGTTGCAAATCTAAAATATTATCTTTATAGAGAGGCATATCAACATTGGGGATAACCATGAACAGAAACTACTAATTGTATCAAATCATTTTTGTAGGGCACATTCTATATATCCACACCCAACATGTGGTTACCAAGAATTCCCAATTGTAAGTTAAAAATCAGAACATACACGTGTTCTTAGATTGATAACATTTTTAAATATTTGGTTACAGTTTTAATCTAATTATATATTTTTATTCAGGTATACAAAGTATAAGAAATTTCACTGTTGGAAAGATCAGACAAAACATATTCATTCAACATCCTCGTTATGTAAGTAAATTTATATGTAGATAAATAGATATATTGAAATAGATTACTATACATTTTTACATATTTTATATTTGTAAAAACAGGGGAAATAAAGGAAGTTGTAGTACCAGCATTTGCAGAAAGTGTAAGCGAAGGAGATGTCAGATGGGATAAGAAAGCTGGTGATCAAGTTAAGGAAGATGATATTTTATGTGAAATTGAAACAGATAAGGTAAAATCAATACTACAAAAGTAAGAAATATATTTGTATGCATATTATATCAAGCATATGTTCCTACATCTCCAGATCTTTATATTCTCAGATCTTTATATCCCAGATTTTTATATTTTTGAATATTTTGCAGTTATTGAATTTATGGTAATTTTTTTGCAGACTTCAGTTCCTGTACCAGCACCTGGTTCTGGTGTTATAAAAGAACTCTTTGTAAAAGATGGGGACACTGTTAAACCAGGGCAAAAATTATGTACCATTGATATTGGTGCTACCGGTGGAGCTGCACCATCAGCTGCAAAACCTGCTGAAGCTCCAAGTCCACCACCACCACCACCACCACCACCATCAGCAGCTGCACCACCGCCGCCACCACCACCACCGCCACCACCATCAGCTGCTGCTGCACCTCCACCAGTACCACCACCAGCAGCTAAACCTACACCTCCACAAGCACCTGCAGCATCCATGCCAGTTGCTGCAATTAAACATGCTCAGGTAAAAAGATCAATATTATGAATTTAAATTGCAAAATTTTGTAATAAAAATGTTCAAATTTTTAGGCATTAGAAAGTGCGAAAGTACAGCTACCTCCCACTGATTATTCTCGTGAAATCATTGGTACAAGAACAGAGCAACGAGTAAAAATGAATAGAATGCGAATACGTATTGCGGAAAGATTAAAAGATGCTCAAAATACGAACGCCATGTTAACAACTTTCAATGAAATTGATATGAGGTAACTATATATTACAATAACTTTTTGGTTTTTAATTCTGGTTTTGTAATTATTAATGAATTATATTTTTTTTATAGCCGTATTATGGAATTTCGTAAAACACACCAAGAAGCCTTTACAAAGAAATATGGTTTGAAACTTGGATTTATGAGTCCATTTATCGCAGCAGCTTCTTATGCTTTAAAAGATCAGCCAGTAGTGAATGCTGTAATAGATGGCACTGATATTGTTTATAGAGATTATGTTGATATTAGTGTTGCCGTCGCCACACCAAAAGGTCTTGTCGTTCCAGTCCTTCGTAGCGTAGAAAACAAAAATTATGCAGATATTGAAATTGCTTTAGCAGCTTTAAGCGATAAAGCAAGAAAAGGAAAAATATCTGTAGAAGATATGGATGGTGGCACATTCACAATAAGCAACGGTGGTGTTTTCGGATCCCTTATGGGAACACCTATTATTAATCCACCACAAAGTGCTATTCTTGGAATGCATGGCGTATTTGATAGACCTATTGCAGTAAAGGGCGAGGTAAATGTGATAAAATTTTGTTGAAATTATGTAATGATTCTTTTTTATTATATTAAGGTATTCCAGGTTGTAATTCGTCCAATGATGTACGTGGCTTTAACATACGATCATCGATTAATTGATGGACGCGAGGCTGTGATGTTTCTAAGAAAGATCAAAGCCGCTGTAGAAGACCCCAGGATTATTTTAGCTGGCCTTTAAGCCTCGTAAATGTTTTCACTAAATCGCTTCAAATACGGCTCTCATTACATTACGGAACGTTTTGTATGCGTTGTAGTATATTCTGTTATCGAGGCTTTTACTTAAAAAAAAAAAAAACATATTTCCAGATATTTATTAATCATTGTGATAAACGAAAGTATAAAAAGCTATTGCATAATTAAAGTAACGTAAAGTATTTCAATGTAAAAAACTTTATCTTATTAACAAAGTATTGTTTCGATTCATTTATATACTTCAATATAAAGTGAATTGATCTTTCTACAGCATAAATTTCGATTCAATTAAACTGTTGTCCTTTCATATACATTTTCTAAGTTCGGAATGAAGTGCAATATAAAAGAATATTACTGATTCAAAAATTAAACTTCAAATGTACAATGTAACTGAGAAGGAAAGAAAGATGGTATTATACCTTTTATTCAAAACGAATTATGTACTATAAAGGTTTTCCGTATAATGATCTATTTAATACTATAATTAAATTAGAAATTTATTCGTTTGTTTACATTAAAAAGTATTTCTAATTTTTATATAGCTTATATTGTTGGACAGCATGTTTTTGTTCCATTTCATGGCACATGATTTAAAAATTTCGTATACAACATTTACATTTTTTAAAAGTGAAACAAGACAATTACAAATGATTGTAACGATAATTTTATTATTTTTGATGGTGCTTATTTTTATTCTGATGCCTTTAATTTGTGAGACGTTATACAGAAGCGACAACTGAAAAATTTAGATGATACTTTACTGCAAAGATAATTGTATCTAAATATTGAAATAAAATTTCATTAATCTATAATATCATTTACGTTGTTTAATTGTTTTATTGCTTAAGAGTGGAATTATATTTCATATATTTTTGTTTTTTTATTAATTTTGTAATTAAAAAATATCATTCAAATATTTTGAAATATATCGAACTATTTCGATATCGCATGAGCGAGTATCGAATCGAAATCGATACTGCGTGTGCTCGGTGTGAATGACTTCGCTGTTTCGTTCTATGGTCAAACAATAGATGTGAGATGGTAAGTTTCCATAAATTATTTGAATTAAATATAAAATTATCAATTTATATTGTTTAAGAGAATTTGGAATAAAGTCTTTAATATATCTATAACAACTTTAATTTACGGTTTATATTATTAAATGTCATCCTTCATTTTAGGTTAACATAGTTCAACATTTTAATTTTGTTATATTAAGTTTTACTGTGTCATTCAAAGTGAAATTGTTTATAACATATTGATATATCTTAATTAATATATAATATTCACTCAAAATGATAATATAAAAACGATATACTTAAAAATTAAATATTTTTAAACAATTATAACATTTATTGCAAATATTTATTGTAGGGACAAAATCAGTCAGGTACTGGTGGTACAGGAGGTGATAAGAAAGATGATAAAGATAAGAAGAAGAAGTATGAACCTCCCATACCAACAAGGGTGGGCAAAAAGAAGCGACGTACAAAGGGGCCAGATGCTGCTTTAAAATTACCGCAAGTTACACCGCATACACGGTGTAGATTGAAGCTTTTAAAATTGGAACGTATAAAAGATTACTTGCTAATGGAAGAAGAATTTATTACAAACCAAGAGAGACTAAAACCACAGGAGGAGAAGAATGAAGAGGAAAGATCTAAAGTTGATGACTTACGTGGAACTCCAATGTCTGTTGGAACATTAGAAGAAATAATTGATGATAATCATGCTATAGTTTCTACATCTGTTGGTTCTGAACATTATGTATCAATTTTATCCTTTGTGGATAAGGATCAGTTGGAACCAGGATGTTCAGTTTTATTAAATCATAAAGTTCATGCTGTTGTTGGAGTTTTAGGCGACGACACAGATCCTATGGTTACAGTAATGAAATTAGAAAAAGCTCCACAAGAAACTTATGCAGACATTGGTGGTATGTATCAATAATTACAGTAGTATTGTAATAGTTTCATGCAAATGTTTACATACTTTTTATTATATAGGACTTGATACACAAATTCAAGAGATTAAAGAATCTGTAGAATTGCCATTAACACATCCAGAATACTATGAAGAAATGGGTATTAAACCACCAAAAGGAGTTATACTTTATGGTCCACCAGGAACTGGAAAAACATTATTAGCTAAAGCTGTAGCTAATCAGACCTCGGCAACTTTCTTGAGAGTTGTTGGGTCTGAACTTATACAAAAATATCTAGGAGATGGCCCAAAACTTGTAAGAGAATTATTTAGAGTTGCAGAAGAACATGCTCCTTCTATCGTATTTATAGATGAAATAGATGCTGTAGGTACAAAACGATATGACAGTAATAGTGGAGGAGAACGTGAAATTCAAAGAACTATGTTAGAACTCCTTAATCAACTCGATGGTATATAAAATGATTTAAATTTTGTTGTGACATTTTAATTGTATATAAATTAAATGTTATTACACTTTCAGGGTTTGACAGCCGAGGAGATGTTAAAGTTGTAATGGCTACAAATAGAATTGAAACATTAGACCCAGCATTAATCAGACCAGGTCGCATTGATAGGAAAATAGAATTTCCATTACCTGATGAAAAAACAAAAAGAAGAATTTTCAATATTCATACTAGTAGAATGACTTTAGCACCAGATGTGAATCTAGCAGAATTAATTATGGCTAAGGATGATCTTTCTGGAGCAGATATTAAGGTATTATAATGTATATATTTTGACAATTATATATGTTTTATACTAAAAATTTATTGCTTCTAGGCTATATGTACTGAAGCTGGATTAATGGCATTGCGTGAACGTCGTATGAAAGTTACCAGCGATGACTTTAAAAAATCTAAAGAAAGTGTTTTGTATCGGAAGAAAGAAGGTTCACCCGAAGGATTATATTTATAAAATACGATACTTTATTTACAAGATTAACATATGAATATCATGTATACTAATAAACAAAAAAAATACAAAAGTTTACATTTTAATTGTATTGTTCATCTTCAGATAATTTTTCAACCTGATTTTTTAATTTGGATATATCTAACTTACTAATATTCAATTCTTTAACATACGGTTGAAAATATTCATCAAGGATTTGAATAACATGTAACGAATGTTTTCTTTGTTCATTAATAATTTGTGAAAATGATTTCTGTGTATTATTTTTGCCTTGAGATTCTCCCATGCATATGTAACATGCACCTCTCTTAGTTTTATCAAGAATTTCTTTTATGTGTTCAGGAAGTATAATATTTTGCGGTATAACATTTAATAAACTTTTAAATTTTCCTAACATAAAAGCAGTTTCAAAAGCTTCCTCATAACCTTTGTCGAAACCTTTTTGAAAAACAGAGTTTGCTCCATTTTCTATTCCTTCTCTGTAACCATTCTTAAAATAACAAAAAGTATGAATACGTTTAAAAAAGTAATTTACATACTGACATATAAACGTCTTTTATTAACTGTATATAAAAATACCTTTTTGGCAATTTCAACAGCACGATTCCAATCTTTAGTGGCAATATTTAAAGAATCATCAGTTTCTGTTGCATCTAAAAAATCTGCCATGCTACTAAAGTAATATTTACATTGATACAGTAAAAATTTGTAACCTAGTGACGTTTGAAATAATTATTTCATGAGAGAACAGAATCGTTTCATGCATCACGTCTGACTACAAAAGAATTCCCACAACTTGTATACCATTTTATTAATTACATGCATGTTGTGCAAAATATATAAATAGTAGTTGTAGTACTATAAAACTAAATGATATAAAAGACCATTGGTTTACATTTAGAGCCAGAATCATCATAAGTGCGCATGTACACTGCTCTTGGTTATGGAGTGCGCTAACCAATCAAAGCCATCTTGCGCACAATGAACAAACATTGTTTATCCAACAACTCTATTCGTAAAATAGTACAATAGAAACATATTATAACAGAATAAAACTTTTCATATTCGAAAGAGAGAATTAAAAGATTGTTTCCTTTTTTCTTGACGTATTTATTTGCGTATCATTTTCAATAATTCCTATACTCTATGGTGATCATCAGAGTTATCGGTCAAGATGAGTTCTGTTATCAAAGTTGTCGATCAAGAAGAATTTTATTTGTTCTGCGCAGGGGCTCATGGGTCCCAGTATATAGCATGGGATAATAATCAGCAATATATGTATAGTATTTCGATGTTTGATGATTTAAATATTCAATGGAAATTGAGGCCAGCACTTCAAAGGAGCAAGATGCAACTGAGACAGATGTTAATTTATCTCAAATTGAACAAAAGTATGTTTTCATATTTATTAAAACACACATAACACACTAACACACATCGATAGGTTATGTTTCTTATAGTATTCACTGTAGTGATATTCATAACTAAATGATTATGACATAACTTTGATATTAAAATTTCCAGAATTATTGCCTTAGCTCAAGCAAGACCAAAAGGAATATCTGACAAAGATTTAACAGTTGAAATGCCAGATTTACAGCCAGCTCAAAGAGCCCAAATTATAAACAAACTTTTATCTCAGGGACATTTTGATCTATTTAAACAAGGCGGTTCTTTGTTGTATCGTTTGAAAGATCCTTCTAAAGCAAAAGTAGCTAAAGGTGCAGATAATGAAGAAAAGATTGTATATACAATAATTGAAGAAGCAGGAAATAAAGGAATTTGGATTCGCGATATAAGATTTAAATCAAATCTAATGCCAACTCAACTAAACAAAATTTTAAAGAGCTTGGAAACCAAAAAATTTATCAAAGCTGTTAAATCAGTGGCAGCAAGCAAAAAAAAAGTGTATATGTTGTATAACTTAGAACCAGATACCTCTGTCACGGGCGGTGCTTGGTACCAAGACCAAGACTTTGAAGCAGAATTTGTTGATGTTCTCAATCAACAATGTTATAGATTTTTAGAGAAAAAACGAGAACAAATAAATTCTAGTAAAGGTGGACCAATTATAGCTAGGAATGTTACATTTGCTTCATCCAAAGAAGTTTGGAAGTTTATTTCTGATCTTGGAATAAGCAAGGTATGTATAAATACTATAATTTTTACATTCTCTGCATGTTTATGTTTAAAAATGGAATTATTTATAGGTAAAATTATCAGTAGATGATCTGGAAATGATATTGAACACATTGGTTTATGATGGAAAAGTAGAACGCACTCTTTCAGGGGATGGAAGTAATTTATACAGAGCAGTAGAACCTTTATTAAATCCACCTGGATTAATTAAATCTACTTGTGGTGTTTGTCCTGTAAGTTATCTTACTTTTAGTTTGTATTTATGTAAAAATTAATTAGTTATTAATATTAAGATATTGTAATATAGGTGAGAAAAAATTGTTGTGACGTCGGTGATGTAACACCTACAAAATGCCAGTACATTACAGAATGGTTGGAATAATATTTTCTAACATGAATATATCAATTAGACATAATTAGTTGCTTATTCATTACTTTAATACATTTTTATTTGTCAATATTTTTATATAATTTATTTGTACATATCTATATTATAAGAGCAAACTGTATTCATTACATCGAGACATATTCTTAAATTTTCAAATTCCTATATTCCAATACTCCTGTATAATTATATCCCTACACCCTCAGTTGTTTTTATATTGTATCTTATAAATAAAACATTTATGAAATATAGTTTTTTTAATTAGTGTACAGCTGTTAAAATAATTATATAAAGGTTGAAATATAGTTAGGTGAATGTGTAAATTATTCCCGCCAAATCTACCGAGTCTATAATTTCAATCGAATAGAAAGTACCAACTATAAAGAAAATATGTCACATTCGTTTTTATGTTTTTTCGTAAAGACAATGATTTATTAAAAATGATGTAATAAAAGGTGTGAATGATAAAAATAAAAAAGTTTCCTAAATTAAATTTTGGGTGTATTAATAAAAGAACCACTATTATGCAATGATCTTTGTTTCCCGCGTTTTAATTAACTATTTTACGTTGGTACCGTTATTCTTTTTATTGGCTTCCGGCTTTGTAGTGCCAGATGTGAGTGCGCGCTTCCACGAGCACCGTTAAATCGTGCCTTGTCACGAAACTCGAAATGTTTCATAAAACTGTACCGAAGTTTTGTATTCGACACTTATGAATAATTGAAATTTTCACACTAGTTATCTACAACAATCTCAATCAAATTTTCGCGGTGTTTTAAGCTTGAAGTGCGTTTGTTAAATCGCATATATCGCGTCGCATGTGCCTGGTGGCATTCCGGAAAGAGTACAATTCCATCTTCGACGTAGAATTGATTTTTTAACTCTGTTAGAAGCATAAACGAAATTTACGTAAATATAACGATAGATTTCCAAGTACTGACATGCCGCTTCTTCGTAAGCAACCGTTCCAACGACTTCATGTCTCCTCAGACTTTAAAGATGATGATGAAGTTTTTCATTGTGAGGTTACCAATGAAATTTTCAAGGACTACAAGTAAGGCTATGACAGCTGAAATAGTTTCGATACATACTGTAAACTTTATTCAGTATGATTTGTTAGATACAGATATTTCATACTTTTTTAATTTCAACTTTGTTGATTATCTTCATTTTTATAAATGCATATGTTGATATATCATTTGTTTCATTTTTATACAGCCATTGGTTCATAAGTAATAAGGAAAATTGAAAAATGCATAAGCATTTAAACTTCCTGAATATAATATTGTGTTTAAACATTGTTAAGAGATCATATTTATAACATTTTATATCTTGCAATTACAGTGAATTCTGTGAGAGAATTATTTTGTGCAATTCACTTATATGGTCATGCAGTATAACTGGTAGAACCAACATGACCTTCGAAGAAGCTTTACAATGTGAAGAAAATGCAAAAAGGAGTCTTAAAGAGTTTCCAATGGAGGTATATCATTGAATCATTTATTTATTATTGTATATTCTAATTTTTGTTCTACCGATTATAATGTTTATATTACAGTTACGTATTCCTATACTATATCTTGCCAGTAAAACAAATAGATCTTCTTTTAATGACATGATAGAAGATGTATATCAGTTTGCAAGAGAACGCTATTTTGTAGGAGAAATGGTAGAAGCAAGCTTTACCGAAGATTCTTGGTGTGATTGTCATGTTCTTCAAGTTATTGCACCTTCAGAACAGCAAATTAAATTATTTGCTAAAGAAAACAATAGGTATACACACATATATATATATATATATATTATAATATTGATACTATATTAATATATATGACATGCTTTACTGATACAGGAATTTACAAGAGCAACAATATCATCCACCAGCAAATTTGTTTCGTTATGAAGTAGAACAATTAGATTGTGGAGAATCTGATATTAGTCAGCTTATGATAGTGGAGGCAGAACAAGTAAGAAGGAGGAAACAACATTACAGTAGAGAACGTAATAAAATATTCTTACGTCAGTTATGTGAACAAAATGAAAGTGGTATATGGGTTGTGAAAGTTAGTAACTCTCTTAAAACACTAAAATGATTAATAAAATGTGTTATTGAAATATTGTGTTTATGTTCAGGATAGTGTTTTACAAAAATATGGAATCAGTAAAGTACGTTTTGACACTATATTTGCTGGCCCACCACCAGACTTTACATCACGTGTTAAAAAATATGTAAGACACAAGCAAGAATCAATTGATAAATTTCTTACATCAGATATATCAAAACAAAAGTCAATAGAAAAGCCAGATCCTCTCAAGAAAGTAAATCAAGGTGGAGTGGATATAAAAAAATTTCGAAAACCGAGGTAAGTAATGCATTCCGTAAACGAAATAATATTTGATTTTGAATAATATATTAATACTATGAAAATCCATGTATAGAATGAATGGAAAATTTAAAGAGGAACGTAAGGCAAAAGCTCTTGAAGAGAAAGCAAAACGGAAAGAAGAACGAGTTCTTAAAAGTGAACGTAAAAAGGAAGAAAAACAAAAATTAGCTGCTTTAGCTGCATATATGAGGCAATGGAATAAACCAAGGGAAGATCTCGAATGTGAAGATCTTTCTGTTCTCCCACAACCCACCCCAGTTAAGAGTAGTATACCTAATGAGAAATTTGGTGATTCCATAATGATTCTAGAATTTCTAGAATTTTTTAGCGATGAATTAGAAGTTACTACATATTTTCCAAATAGTTTTACATTAGATTTGTTGGAAAAGGCATTGTTGGTCAAAGAAACATCTGGACCATGGAGCGACCTCTTACAGTTGCTCCTATCAAATATATTTAAGTATCAAGCAGAGACATGCTTTACTGATACAGGAATTTACAAGAGCAACAATATCATCCACCAGCAAATTTGTTTCGTTATGAAGTAGAACAATTAGATTGTGGAGAATCTGATATTAGTCAGCTTATGATAGTGGAGGCAGAACAAGTAAGAAGGAGGAAACAACATTACAGTAGAGAACGTAATAAAATATTCTTACGTCAGTTATGTGAACAAAATGAAAGTGGTATATGGGTTGTGAAAGTTAGTAACTCTCTTAAAACACTAAAATGATTAATAAAATGTGTTATTGAAATATTGTGTTTATGTTCAGGATAGTGTTTTACAAAAATATGGAATCAGTAAAGTACGTTTTGACACTATATTTGCTGGCCCACCACCAGACTTTACATCACGTGTTAAAAAATATGTAAGACACAAGCAAGAATCAATTGATAAATTTCTTACATCAGATATATCAAAACAAAAGTCAATAGAAAAGCCAGATCCTCTCAAGAAAGTAAATCAAGGTGGAGTGGATATAAAAAAATTTCGAAAACCGAGGTAAGTAATGCATTCCGTAAACGAAATAATATTTGATTTTGAATAATATATTAATACTATGAAAATCCATGTATAGAATGAATGGAAAATTTAAAGAGGAACGTAAGGCAAAAGCTCTTGAAGAGAAAGCAAAACGGAAAGAAGAACGAGTTCTTAAAAGTGAACGTAAAAAGGAAGAAAAACAAAAATTAGCTGCTTTAGCTGCATATATGAGGCAATGGAATAAACCAAGGGAAGATCTCGAATGTGAAGATCTTTCTGTTCTCCCACAACCCACCCCAGTTAAGAGTAGTATACCTAATGAGAAATTTGGTGATTCCATAATGATTCTAGAATTTCTAGAATTTTTTAGCGATGAATTAGAAGTTACTACATATTTTCCAAATAGTTTTACATTAGATTTGTTGGAAAAGGCATTGTTGGTCAAAGAAACATCTGGACCATGGAGCGACCTCTTACAGTTGCTCCTATCAAATATATTTAAGTATCAAGCAGATGAAGAAGATGAAATCCATGCTCAAGCATCTGATTTATTAAATGATACTAGTATGTATGAAGGAGTAACTTCGATGACAAAAGCTGTGAAACTTGCTACAATAGCATCTAGCTGGAGTCAAATGTATCAAGGGTGCAAATTGTCTGAAATGACATTGGATCATGTGACTTTGAGTGAGATTTTGAGACAACATTTACTAAGTTCCGGTGGACGAATAGGTGAAGTTGCTTCAAAATGGAGATATTCTCAAAGAGGTAAGATTTCTCGTCTGCATTTTGAATTAAGAAATATAAAAAAAAAATATTAGTTAATAGCTAATATATTAATTTTGTTGTTTCCACTTTAGGAGGATATACAAATCAAGATGATCCCGCTCTTTTAATGAGAATAAAGGAGGCATATATTTTAAGATTATTGGGACATCGTAACGTACATGAATTTGATTTGGACGAAAAATTGAAAGTGGCGACGTGTCTAATTCATCAGTTACTTACATTTGCTTCAATACAAGATGTAATTGAAGAGAGACACGAAAAACTTCATCAAGCAAAAAAAGAATTGAAATCGTTTTTGATAGCTGAACAAAAAAAAGAAAAGAAAGAAAAAGAAGAAAAGGAAAAAATGAGTAATGAGAAAGATAAAGAAAGTAAAAAGCCAAAGAAAATTACACGTAGTAACTGTGAAGAAGTGAAAAAGAAAGAAGAACATGAAAACAAATTAAAAGAACTTCAACAAGCATCTAGGGATGATAAAATGATGGTTTACTTAGGTTCTGATAGAGCCCATCGTAGATACTGGAGATTTTTATCGATACCAGGTAGTTTATATGCTAGTAGATAATTTTCAGTATTATGTATGTCTAATAAATTTTTATGTGCACAGGAATATTTGTAGAAAACGATGAGTGGTGGCCCGGTATTTGTCTCCCAGAAGGTACACCTTATCAACCGGAATTAAAAGACAGAGAATCAACGTACGCATATTTAAGAAATAAATTTGAAGATGAATTTAGCGACAAAGAAAATAGTTTTAAGAAAGCGAAGAAATCTCCTAAGAAAGTTACATTTTCTGAAAAGAATGGTCTTAAATCTCCAAGGAAAGATACATCTCGAAAAGAATTTAAACAAGAATTATCTAATATCAGAAAAAGCTTATTAGCTTGCACAGGAGATAAAGAATGTCCAGTTCACTGCAAAAGGCTTGGACCAAAGTGGAGCTTCTATGGAAAACCAGAAGATATAGAAACTTTAGTGAACGGTTTAAATAAACGAGGAATCAGAGAAGGTGAACTCAGAAATAACATTTTACAAGAAATGACAAGTCTAATGTCTGTGATCGAAGAATGTCCTAGACATAAACTTAATCCAGAAGTTGTAAGTACTTTGTAATACGGTAAGCATAGCTTCTTAAATACTATAATTAATTAAATTTTGCATACAGTTTTCAGAACCTATTAAAGTACCTATTAACAAAACTACAAAGAAAAATAAATATGAAAACGCTAATTTAAATTTCCCTTCCGAAACGTCAGTCGACGACGTTTTAGAATTAACGTTAAGAGATTATATTCTAGATTTTGAAGATAAAATGAAATCAGCTTGCTTGGGACATTTAAAGGTTAACGATCGAGAAGCATGGAGAAAAGCAATTAACAATAGGAGTTACGACAAACAGTGTGATAGACTAATATATGGTACAAACGAGATTGAAATAGATATTGCTACTAATATAACGTTAGATAAAGTGAAAAATGAAGCTAAGCATAGTAGGCCAGGTACTCCCGATTCAGAGGCTGGAAGTATTAATATAAAAACTTACAAAGATCCAGGAAAGTACTTAGGACCACCAAGTGAGACTGAAGTACTCTCAGATCCTAAGCAACAGACAGTCATTAAACAGATGGCTTGTGCTATTTTGCAATTATCACATGCTATAGAACAAAAGTACTTACAAGAACCATTATGGGGCGATGAAAAAGATAAAAAGTCAACAAGCGAAGAAACTAAAGAAAGATGGGAGCAATCTCTTATGGCGTCAACAAGTTGGTCTCAGTTATTTTTACATTTGAGTACTTTGGAAAATAGCGTCGCATGGGATAGAAGTGCACTTCATGCACAGTGTCGTGTATGTAGACGACGCGGAGACGCCGAGAAAATGCTACTCTGCGACGGGTGTAACAAGGGCCATCACTTATATTGTTTAAAACCAAAACTAAGCGTAATATTCTTCGAATGATAATAGTATTCATTTTTATTATACAACGTTAATTAACAATATATTTCTTTATAGACTGTACCAGAAGGAGATTGGTACTGTAAAGTATGCAAACCACCGATAAAATCAAAAGAAAAACTTAAGCAACGTAAGAAATTTGAGGAGGAATTGGAAGAAGAAGTAATTTTAACTAAAGAAACTCGACATAATCGTGCAAAGCGTATTCTTGAAAGTGAAGGAGAAGAAGAACGAGACGATGATGAACTGGAAGAAGATAGTGATATGGACATGTAAGAATTATTTTAATAAGTGTTTATTAAACGATAAGCATCGTTTAATAATTGTGAAATTTCAGAAGCAGTCAACAAGTAAATGTATGCACTGCATGTAGAAGCGGTGGAAAATTAATCAGTTGCGACGCATGTTCAAGTTATTATCACATAGAGTGCATAGAACCTCCCATAGCGAGAGCACCTCGTGGGAAATGGTCTTGTTCAGATTGCAAAGACAGAAGAGATAAACGGACGAATACTAAATATGGTAAGGTATTCAAATATACGATACGAGTATTCGAAAATTCAGTACCGACTAAGATTACTGAAATAAATCTTGAAAATGTTAAGCAGTTTTAGAGTATTTTATTATTTTTTCGTACTAACCCATTAATAAATAAAATATTTTAAACGGTGATGTAATAAAGCAATTTCTTAGTTTCAATTGTGTTGTTAGTGAGGGGGCGAGAAAGGGAAAGAGACAAGGAGAGGCAGTGCGCTGCAGCAGCACGCTCTCGCATCCATGGCTTTGCCAAGAGCCTCCTCACTACAGAATCTACAGACTGGGACGGTCTGTATTGTAACTCTATTCTACTTTCCTTAGTACATTTGTATTTTTTTTGTTTTATAGATTGTCAGATGGTATAACAACTTTTGCTTTACACATTTATTCATTAGTCATTAATAAATTAGATTTAATTTTTAATAAAAACTTTTTGTAACAGGGAGAGGTTTCATTTGCATGTATACGCACAATGTCCTTATTCTCTTGTTATGATAAATTTCTTTTAATCGAATTTACTACAAATAATCTTAACATTTTTATTTGTGGTGCAAAGTAACAAAATTGTTTTTAACTTATGAACGAAAAAACATTAAAATTGCAATAAATCTTTTTTACATGTAGACTCCATTAACGCTTTGCATGTGTTATTAATCAAGATATATGTAAATTAAAAATCGACGTTTAATTGTATATAAAAATTTTGATATACAGACAGTAGCACTTCAGAAGATACAGAACCAAGGAAAACAAGACGAGCAACTAAAAGAGCTATAGAGGAACAAGAAGATAAAGGCATGGGAGGTCTACAGGAATTATTAACAGATATTATGCACCATAGAGATTCTTGGCCTTTCCTATCACCTGTTACAAAAGACGAAGTTCCAGATTATCACGATATTATTTCCAAACCCATGGATTTTGGTACAATTAAATGTAAACTTAATAATAGAGAATACGAAACATCAGAACAATTTTTCAACGATTGTCATTTAGTGTTTCAAAATTGTCAAGCTTACAACGAAGAACACAGTTCTGTATACAAGTGAGTTCAGTTAACGCAAATATTGCTGTGTATAAGTTCGGATGCCACAGATTGTGAAATTGATTAACAACGTTGATTAATATACTATCCTATAATCTCTTAAGCTAGTTTAAAGATTTTGCTAATAACAGCAATAATTTTTTATTCATATACTTATAAGAAATGAACAGCTTTAAGTAGTTTTCTTAATTATATTACTAGGCTGTTGATGTTTATTTATTTATTTATTTATAATACACAGAAATACATTAAAATTCACAGCCTTATTATTGTTATCGCTAAAAGAGGAATGGAATTGATCAGCATGCATTTTTAACTAATAAATCAATTATAATATAAAGTAATTAGTTGTTAAATGTAACAAAATATCGAGTGTTTTAACTGCTATAAAACATTTCAACGCTTTAAGTTCATAAATATATAAATAAATTCATTTATTGTAATGATTTTAAACAAATTTTATATACACTTAATATATGTTTTAGATTTAAAAAGAAAGAATTGTTGCAATAAAAACTGAATATAGTAACCGTTTATATTCAAAATCTTTGGCTTCCGAACATTTAAAACAGTTTAAGTCTTTAGAGTTACACTATGTCTTTTTTAAAAACAGTTACGTATACAGAGCAGGTATGAGGTTACTGAAATACTTTGAGAAACGGTGCAAGGAACTTGGATTAAATTGCGGCGAAGAACAATTACGTCCGACGAGTGCGAAGAAACCAAAACTTGAAGAAAATGGTCTCGTTGATAGCGACGATGAAGATACAGAAGAAATTCGAAAGTCAAGATAGAAACAAAGTACTTTTTCCAACAACGTTCTATTTATTGAATATTAACTTTTATTCTTAATACGTAAATGTACCTTAAAACTGGATATGGATTTATATACCGCGGTATCGAGCACTATATATAGATTCATGATTCAATGGAAGAAACTTTGTAAAGTATATAATACTGAAAAAATTTCGTTTACTAAAATTTACAAAGTGCTATACAGAATTTATAAAATTATTCAGTTGAAACAGGTGATAAAATGCAAGCTTAAAAGTGTTCAAAATATTTTCTCCTTCGTTACTTATCAAATATCCCAATCAATATCTTTTTAGGCTTGCTGTAATAAAATACGCGTACACAGTATTATTTGTAGAATTTTATCCATGTTTATAAGTGCTCTCGTATATTTTTAGATATTTGAAAACAGAGCATTTTATAAATATAAGTAAATCAGCGCGTAAGCGATTTCGTTTGCTTGAATCAGTACAAGATTAGTCTTTTTTGAGTTAGTAATACTAAAATTTTTTTGTTATCGAACAAGTTTTTTTACGTTATATTAATAATTATTTATTATTTTAAGATTATTCATTTCATTGCATTTTATGTATTCTTTCACTGCAAATAATATCGGAGGTCACCCAACTGAATCGTTTAAGCTTTGACTCGTGCTAAATCGAAATACATGTAAAGTATCGTTTTTTTTAATAGTGTATTTATAGTACACGACACGCGATAGAACATAATACGACTGATGATTTAAGAATTAATACTTGCGTAATAAAACTTTTTTATTATAAATGCAAAAAAAAAAGAAAAGTATTCTTGTAACACTTAAATTTAAACGTAACAAACATAATTACCGCATCTATATCTATGAAGTAGATTTCACTGAGATTCAGATACGTTATATATTCTGCACAAAATTATTAACGGTTAAAGATTTTGTTGTTTAATTATTTTTGTTTTAGATTTTGCCAAATTGTTTGTGTATTAGCTGTACTTACTTTTTCTTCTTTCGCAAAAATCAGCCTACTTCGAAAAAAGTAAAAATTTAGGCTAGTCCTGTATAAAATCTACAGTACAAATTATTATTAATCTCTATATTGTACAGCAGTGAAAACAGTTCTTTGTAATCATGTACGTTTTATACAATTAATTTGGTAATAAACATTTAAAGTAGATTTGTAATTGGAATTTGTAATGTATTATATCAGAAACTGATAGATAAGAAGATACATGATATCGACTGCTTAATTATAAGATTTTACATGCATTTATTTTCATACATTATGCTATATTACAGTAGTTTTAATGTCTCATCTCTGGTGAGAATTGGTGTTTACGAATTTCGTCCCAGCGTTTCACATTTTCTGGATTGTAACCTAAAGAAAGAAAGGAAAGTATTAATAATTATACGTCGTTACTATGTACTCTTGGGTAATAACGAATTAAATAACTTCATTCTAATTGCACTTACTTAATTTTTGCATATAATAGAAGAAAGGCATACAAATGACTGTAGACATTAACCAGTACTTCAATATCCAACCGCGTGGATGGTTGTAGTAATGCATAAATGGGAACTGAGCAATTTTTGCAGACAGCGTATATGGAAATTTCATTGGTCTTCCAGACATCTCTAAAAATGATAATTTAACAACAATCATTAATACTGTAGGATTCTTTATTTACATACAAGAATATCCAATACCGTTAAATACGAAAGCATAATACGTTGTTTATATTATTATATCAAAAGAATTATAAATTATGAAGTAGATATTACAATTACGTTGATGGACATTTGTATGCTTCATTCTTGTCTGTCTATTTTTAAGTTATGTCATTTGCATGCAAATCATCGGATATATAAAATTGAAATGCCATTTTTAATTTGCAAGAAATGTATATTCTTGACCCGACATATTAAAATTGCAATATTTATTTTGACAATTAATGTTTTTATCACATAAAATTAATATTAAAATGTCGATATCTTAATATATTTTTATACATAAATAAAATATTATTAAAATAATACCTGTTTTCTATTTAACAAACTGAGAAACAAATTACACGAGTAGAATAATTTCACAACCACCGAAAGTCATGAACTTATATGTGTTATATAATGTCTTCTGTTACTGTATATCGAACGCTATATCGAATTGGTGTTCTTCCGCGCATTTTAACTAACTTCAGAGGGCTCTGTACTTTATCAATGCAGTATTGATCAATTGTCTGTTTTTCATTCCGTGGTTATATACACGATGTAGAAAAATATATGGATAGTCAAAGAGACTGATATAAGCAAGGGCAAGATCAATAGTTTTCCTCGAGTTAGGCGGGAATTTAAGACATTTGGGCAGTAGAATATTTTTTATTTTCTAATATTAGTTTAGCGCGAAACAAGAAAGAGCGGATAAGAGCGATGAAAAGCATAGTAAATAAAAGATCACTGAGTATATAGTTTAGTATCACGAAGATTAGCGAACCTCGTCTAATAAAGATATTCTCTCGTGATGAGAGTGTTACGTTCATATTCTAAAGTTTTAGATGATTATTGGTTAAAAATTGGACAAACTTATACAAAAAAATGTATTTGAAAATCCTTTCGAAGATATTAAATATTATTATTCAAATATACTTTTTATAAATTTTACATAAATTTTGATAGAGTTTATAAAAATATTTAACTTCGATCATATAAAATAATAAGTGTATTAAATAAACTACTATATATATATATATATATGTTAAAAATATATATTGTAACATTTTATTTTTTATTAACGTATAATTTATAACGAAAAATTATCATACAAACATAGATACAAAATTAAATTTTAGTCAATAATTTCTATAGGAAAAAATTGCATCGCGAATGATCAAGCTTAAATGACAATATCTTATCAGAGATTAATTGATAAAACTAAGGATTAAATGATTCGAATGTTTAATATCCATTTTTTAAAAATATAATACTATTTTACATAGAAATTCAACCAGTTCAGTTAGCATATTTTCCTTTTATTACTATTTATATCATTCAAATATACAAATCGAATTACATTTTTAATGAAAACTGGTTAATTTAATTTTTAGTATGAAAAATAAAAATACGAAAATATGTCTTAGTGTTAAGGTGGTCGTATAGAGACCTGTGCGCATATGAAGGATGAAATAAGAGGATAGATAAAAAATTAATAAAAATAAATTTAAAACTAATCACAAGTACCATGAGTTCTATAGAGGTTGTAAATTTTAGTATTTTAATTCAATCAGTTACTATAAACAATTTTCAAGTTTGTTAATAAGTGCCTTTTTGTAGAAAACAATATCAATTTGATAGAAACAATATGTCACCAAATTTGTAATATTTATAAATTTTATGTGACATTATATAATCAGTTTTATATTGCAAATCAATTTTTAATTATTTATTTATTTAATATTTTCAGGGAAAATGTTTTGGGGATGCAGAAATTGAATTGTTTAATTCAAACGTGTTGGAACGATTGTCTTTACCACGTGTAGAAGGTTTATTAATTAGATCTTTAAGATCCGGTGATTATGATAGAGGTAAGAGTAGAAGAAAGTAAATAACAGTAATAAAATACTAACCTTTTATTTGTCTCAAAGGCTTTCTTCAGCTGTTAACGCAATTAACTGAAGTTGGAAATATTAGTAAAGAACAATTTCTGAGTAAGTTTTCTGAAATTAATTTTTGAAAGCACAAATATAATAATAAATAGATACTATATTTTATTTTGAAATATGTAGACCGTTTTCAACAGATGAAAAATACTGGTAGTTATTATGTCATTGTGACAGAAGATACAACCAATGGCAAAATAATAGCAACTGCAACGTTAGTTGTAGAACAAAAATTTATTCATAATTGTGCATTGGTATGTTGTTCATTAAGTACTCTTTTAGAAACCATAATTGTTCAATGATTAAAATAAATAATTTATTACAGAGAGGACGTTTAGAAGATGTGGTAGTAAATAATAAGTATAGAGGTAAACATCTGGGAAAACTAATGGTTAAAACTGTATTACAATTAGCAGTTTATTTACGATGTTATAAATTGTCGTTGGATTGTAAAGACAATCTTATACCTTTTTATGAAAGTTTGGGCTTTAAGCGAGAATCTAACAACGCTAATTACCTCAATATGAGATTCCAAATGGAAAATGCTACAGAACAGTCACATTTATGACAATAAAGATATTTCAAAATTACTATAAAAGATTTATTGTTTGAAAGTGACAAAATTTTTACTGTTTTTATAAATTCAATTTTATTTTAAATCATTTGAAACAATACAAATTTCTGATATGAATTAATAAATTAAGTGTACTATGAATTATGTAGGATATAAAAATAATAATATGTAATTTTATATTGGTAAATATATATATATATATATATATATATATATATATATATATAATATTTTTTGGGAACACATAATGTAATAAACAACGTTAAAAAGTAACGAAGAATCAGTATACAACTGTTAATTAGTCATTAATAGATAATAGTTATTAGTCATATTTTGTATCGATCATATTTTAATTTTCTTTTGTAATACACGATTGATGTTTTAAACTATGGCATTTAAATTAGAGTTTTTTGGTAGCAACGTTGTTTCGTAATTTTACTGCTCTTTTAGCTTCCATTTGTCTTTGTCTTGCTAATTTGCGTTCCTCACGTTTTCTCCTAGCTTCTTCTAATTTATTATTTCCTGTAAGTGTATTAACACTTTCGATGTTCCCTTAGAAAATTAAATAAAAATTTGCATTAACATACATTATTTCGTAATCAAAATTATTGTTTATAAAATTAACTTACCCGATTGTTCTGATGGTTGAAAATCTTCTAACGGTTGAAACTCCGAATCTTCCCAGCCTGTTTCAACGGATTCATTTTTATCTTCTATACTTTGAGCTGCTTCTTCTTCCTAAAATAATATTCAAATAATTTTTTTAGAGTTACCGCCTAATACTACGACATTCAAAATAACTCTGCATTACAATTTTTGATAAATACAAACCGGTTCTTCTTCAAGGCTTGTCCATTGTTCATTGCACTTGGAAGAATGAGGAGCCGGTGAAATATTACTTGTGCCATGTCCTGAAGCAACCGAAGGTTGCTGTTCCATATCACCCCAATTATCTGCATCCCAATCCCAATCACAGTCCGAGTTTGTATTTGCTGCATTTTGTAGATCATGTTCATGATCATGGTCTAGTGATGTCATACTTGTAGCGCTACTTGTTGTAGCTGTGGTGCTGGCACTGCTTTGTGAACTACTAGCTTGTTCTGCAATTTAATTGTACATTCATAGAAAGAACAGTTGATATTTTTTAGAATTAAAAAAAAGAAAAACATGTAAATACCCAAAGAGGCAGGTTTATTTAGTAAAATCCTAGATGCATTAAGAGGATTCGATGATTTAGGTGTATTATCTGACTGACTACGATAAAATTTGGCAGTTACTGCTGTTACAGCCCAACCTGCCCATGTTGCCGCTGCATTACTAAGACTAGGAGTTGCCGTATTTACATCTGCCTCTGAAGTCACATCGTTTAAATTATAAATCTATTATTACAAATAATAACAAGTACTGCTTTATAATTAAGTAAATACCCATAGATTCACGTAATCCAGGATCCTCTGATACCCTTTCAAGTTTCGATAAAAATCCACGAATCGTTCGAAACGCATTATCTCTGACTCCTTTATCTACATCAGTAGTAAGTGGGCATAAGGCTGGTAAAATACGATTCGCAACTTCTTGGAGTAGAAAATATTGCTGCGTCGCAGCTAACGCTAAAATACTTGCTGTTCTAGCAGGTGGAAATACATCCCGTGTACCTCGAATAAATGCTCCAATTAATACCTGTAACGATATTATTGTTTATGATTTCTTTCATTACGCGTTATTTCGTAAAGTTTATATCGAGGTTTGAATTACTTTTTGTCTAATTTGAGGATGAAGATGTTGAGCAATTTTTCCTAAACAAACTGTAGTATTAGTACGTATTCCGCCATGTTCATCTTTTGATTGAAGTTTAGCAAAATACCTTAATGTTTCCACATTAAGATTATTATAATCTAATTTTGGGGCTAAATGTACAACTGATTTTATTGTTTGTTCCCTTATCGCAGCATTTGTGTCTAAAAAACCTCTGGCTACCTGTAATTAATTATATTAGAATGTTTTGAATTTACTATAAAAAAAAAAATGAACAACCGTAATAACCTGTGGGAAGATAGCTTCATTAACTGTCGCTGGTTGCAGATGATCAACAAATCTGTCCAATTGTTGTAACAACCGTAATCTTGTCGCTCTATCATTCGATGCAAACAATTTTACAACACAAGGTACCACCCTTTTCTGGTATTCAGTATCGGGTAGTTGGCAACCAAGCTGTAACAGGGGAGGTAATACCGCGCTCCCAGCATCACCAAATTCAAAGGCAGCCAATAATTGTGGTAAAATTTTATATCTGCCAACACCGTCTGGAAATGATTCTAATTGATTAGCAAGCTGCGAGAAAAATCGACCCTTCTCTCCTCTTTCTTTCATTTGAATTTCTTCCAAGAACAAAAGTGCGTCTACAAGGGTATTTTTGAAAAATCCTCCATTACTACGACAGCGTGCTATCACATCGGCTGGATTTGGTCTTCCTTCTGCATTGCCACTGATCAATTCTTGATATATTACTTGCAGTTGTTTTGGAATCTGAAAGATAAACTTACAGTTATTATTTAATTCGAGGGTAACCATTAGTTTTGTAGGTAATAGAAGATATACTTTATCAAGAACATTAAGTTGCGAACTTGAAGTCAGTGGACCATTATAAGTTTCCCAGATCAGGCATCCAAGTCCCCACATGTCAACCGAGCTGTTTTTTATTTATTCGTCAGTTTCATAGCGTTAACAATAAACCTAAATGTTTACATACGGAATAGCTGGTATTGTAATTTAACTTTAAAAGCGAAGTAACTATTTTCTATTATTTACCAAATAAGAGAATCATTTTATTAATAGTGTATACGTATTAATAAATAACTTGTAGCTATAAATAAAAATGTTACAATTATTTGTATCTTGAAATTAAATCTCTATAACCACTGATAATATAAATTTTGCCGATAGGGTATAAACGTATAAAATACTTTTCCTCGTATAAATTTTCGTTACCATTTGGTGGCTGGCTTGACATTTTCCTTAATATCCGCAGGATAATAAGCTTGAAACGTCGACGGCAATGAGTTATAAGCAGCGTCTACTACCGTCATGTATTCGACTCCGCCAAGTTTCCATTCCCCGCTTTCTTCGTTAACAAATACACTCCACAAATTAACATTGTTATGTCGTAGATTACCATCATTATTTAAGAAGTTTAGTGCTCTCTGTTAAAAATTTATATATTTTGACAAATATTTTACAAATTATTATATTATTTAGATTTATACTTACCGTAATTTGAAATATTCCCCAAGAAAAATATAATTCCTTCTTAGATTCCTCATTGCTATCGGACTTCCTTTTCAACCGATTGTGCAAAGATTCCACGTGTTCGGTTGCTAAATAAATTACTTTATCAGTCTGAAAACATTAAAATAAATTTATGTACTCTTTATTAAGTTAACGATCGTTTACATTACGATAACAATAATTGTACCTCAAGACTATCAAGATACGAGAGTATACTTGGATGTCTAAGTGTTTTTAATCGTTTCACTGCTGATCGTGCTACATCCAAAAGATGTTCATTACCATTTTTACTCTCAAAAACAAATACCGAAACATCTTCACCTCCTGTGGAACCCTGTAAAAGAAGATGTGACATAATAAAAATAAAACTTTTAAACAGCTAATAAAATATAAATCAATACCTAAAGTTGGAAAATATTTTTTAAGATTTTACTGCGTCAGGTTATGATACCTTTTTCTTAGCTTTATGTAAAGTCCAGATACTTTTATCGTCTAAATCAGGAACTGGTTCACCGATTTCGTATGGGAAATCTTTCGTAGGGTCTCTTGAAAAAAAGGACCACATCTTTTACGATTTAACTAATTATTTTTACATAAATCAAGCTCATCCTCCAAACGAATACCATATCGCGATATCACTGACAGCTACGCATCAACCTATTTTCGACCGCACTGCTCCTTTGCGTTGATTATAATTAAACTTATTATACGTTCAACAGGATCACATATACTGCTCGCGCAACTCGGCTAACTTCAGTATAGTCCCTACCAGTTATAACGCTGTCATTATATATATCGAAGATACAGGGTGATTCTATTGCTAGTAGAGTAGAAAAGGAATTCTCACAGGCTGTTTTCCTTATTGTTCCAAACGAAAGAATCACTCTATATAAGGTAGATGACACAATCATCGACGCGTGGACGTTACTCTTGGTTACAAAGTATATCGAACGAACATGTGTACAATGAACAAAACCTCGTCTAATGATAAGTATGACTTCCCTTTAAACGTGTAATAAACCTATAATTGCTCGCGTGTAAATTAGTGTAAAATTTGAACAAATGTATTGATTAAATCTTCTAAAATTTCGGAGAATTATTGTAACTAGTTTATTTAAAAACTTGTATGAAATATTTGTCTTTAAATATGAACGAAGTTGGTCCGTCCTTAGTAACAACTTATGCTTTTAAAAATGGTAAAGAATATATTGTAAAGATAAAAGTTACTTCCGTAAAAGGATGTCAACGCAGTTTAGAGCTCGCTGTTACTGATAAATATACCGCTGAAAGCTGGCAGTCCTCATACGATGCCGCATGTTTGTTCTTTAACTTTACTTTAATAATGTAAACTATTTTATGATTATATCAAGATTTTTTAAATTTCTTGTCTATTACAACTTTATTTGTAAAATTTGTTTATTTTATGTTACATTATAAATTGTGTTTTGATCGTTTTAAAGATATTGAAAACTTGACACATAAAACTGGAAATTACAAGCATTTCGACGTATTTGCGGCTATGCTCCAGTCTGGCTTGTTGAAAGTAAAATTTGTACTTTGAATTCAAAGTAAAATAAATGAAATTAAAAAAGGTGAATTGCAGACAAGCGAATCTATTACTTTGGACCTCCTTACCTTCGAAGATTTAGAATTACTGCGCGCACATAGATTCGAGCGTAATTCATGCACAAGTTTGGGAAATGCATTGAATAATCGTCGATATCTTATATTAACGTACACTGTTGAATTTGATCGGTAAGTATAAATTTGTATATAAATCTCTTAACTAACAAACAATAATATTTTTCTGTATATTCTATAAAAATAAATAAACATGTCGAGTACAAGAAAGTTTGTAAATCTTATGCGGATAAATTTTATATGAAAAATATGAAATATTTGCAACTGTAACAAATTCCCTAAGAATCCATTATCCATTACCTTTGGAATACTGTGGTTTACCTGATCCAATAATATTACAAACTACCATTAGAAGATTACAAGCAGAAATTGAGAGATTACAATCTGTGGGGAGTAACAGAAGTCTACAAAAACGTATCGAAGAACTTACCGTCACAAATCAGAAACTTATTCAAGAGAATCAAAAACTCACGAACGGAGGTAGAAATAGACAGTTCAATAGTTCTAAAAATCACTTTTTGTTATTATTTTTCAATGTTTAGGAAAAGGTTTAAAGCATTTAATGGGATCGATAAAATCATTAGAGAATAGTATCGCCAAGGAACGTGCATCGTTTAGGACACAAATTCAAAAACTTAAAGCTGAAAATAGAGCTTTATTATCGAAAGTACAACAACTTACTGTATCTAGTAGAAAACCTGGAGATGGTAGCTCCGCGTTAAAACATTCTGCTTATTCGCCTTCTATACGTAGGCGAAGTAGAAGTCGATCATCTTCAATTTCTAGTCGTGTTAAAGCATCTAGTTTGTCATCAGGTATAAGCCTTAACATCAAATCCTGTTTAGTTTTTCACAAAACTAATTTGTCTATTACGCTGTTTAATACATTTATATCAGTTTCTTGTTTCCATTATTCTATTTAAGTTAATCAAATTAGTATTGACTTTGTACTATTCGCTACAGGCAGTTCAGCGGAGTCAATTAGAACATGCAAATCCCCTTATCGAAATACAAAAGCATCATATACCAATAGGAAAAAAAATTCTAGTTAGTATTCAATAATTTTGTAAAAAAATCAATATTATTAATAGGACCTTAACATGTTTGATATTATAGAACATGATTTTGAAAACTTGGAAGCAAGAATTCGCACGTTACAGAAAATGTTAAAAGAAGGAATAAATTTGAATTAATGAATTAATAAAATTTTAATAAATAAATATATACATTAAAATAAATTTTCTTTCTTATAATAATTATTATTACATATTTTGTATAATACAACCGAAACAAATGTAAGTAGACAGTACAAGTATAAACAAAAGTATATACTTATATAAGTAAAATGTATTTTCCTAAAAACATGTATCTAATGTCCAGATTTGCTCGTTATTACAAAAAAGAATTATGCTTATAATAGCATAAATAGAAACTACTGCATATTTTCAGCAACGATATAGAAAAATTGCTATATTTTTGCGTATACCGTGAGGGAGTATTTATGTACACTGCAATATAAATTATTGTTCTTCTTTTACTGTTTTAATATTATCGACATTATATCGATACTATCACATTCATTAATAAAGATTAATATAAAATTTTAGTTAACTGATTTTGTACGCTTTTACTTCATTTTCATAATATACTATAGCTTGCTCAATAAGCGACGTTTTCTCAGTTTCTCTACTATGTGTTTCTACATTTGTTTTCGAGTTAACATTTATATCTTGACTCGTTTCATGTACTATTACTTTTTCAGGTAATCTATGTCTCGTAGATTTTGCTAATTCTTTACAAGCTTCCGTTAGATATTGAATGTCGCTTTGTTGTTGAGATGTAATTCTATTTAAACTTTCTATGTCATCTTTAAACTTTTGTATTTGTGCTAGACGCGCTTCTTCTTTTTTGGTTTCTTTCGCCACTTGACGATTATATTCTAATATTAGACAACCACCGGCGACGCTGAAAATAATAACTTCGCCCATCAAATTTGCTCCTAATTCTATTGCCATAGCTTCGTTCAATTTTGCAACTTTCGTAGGCTTACCAAGGTTCATTAGATACATTTTAGCTTTAACTTCTGCCCAATGATAAACTGTAATGTAAGTAGAAAAATAATTTAATTCACGAATACGTAAAATATTTAAACAATTAATTTAAAACATTTATTGTACTTACACTGAGCAGGTGGTATAATAAAATATGTTCTAAATACAGGATGATTTTTTGCTTGGTTAACAAGAAATTTTGCCAAAGGTTTACTTATTTGTTTAACAAATAAAACTCCCAATTTGAGGGCGGGAAAAACACCTACGACCATTCTTCTTTTATTTACTTGTACAACTGAACTCGAGAATCACACCTTATATACAAATAAGACCTAAAAATCATATGTATGTAAATTATGCATTACTAAACAAGTGTTTTTTCAGTAATCGTGTGTATGGTTGTTCTTATTCATATTTATTTACTACATATTGAAAATACGAATGACATAATATCACAATGTCATTATGAAAAATATAAGTTTCACGTAATATTTTGAAATTGTTACCTCAGTTTTGAAAGTATAACTTCAAAATATAGCAGACGGCCATACTGACGTAATTGATGAATTATGCGATTACATTTCTATCTATAGTCATGTGCTAAGAAAAATTGATTAACATATTTTTAATCTAATATGTAATTCTTTATTTATGAATATTTATGTTAACATTTAAATCTACATGTAAAATATTTCTAAAGCGAACACACGTACATTATCCTTCTAACGATAAATTGCACTCGTACAGTGTAGCTAACTTCGGTACGTTTCCATCACCTAACATATATTTATATTATATTGTAACGCGAGCGTACTTGTTATCATCCTGAATATAGTCAGTATAGTATGGCGACACGACCGTGAGAATATTTACAGAGCGCATCTGTACTTTGTTATATCGATGACCATAAATTAAGAGCGAAATTTAAACTATCTGAGCGTGCGATCATGTACAATAGACAAAGCTTATATTGTTAAAGCCACTCGACGTGGGTGTTCGTGCTAGGAAAAGTTTGGGAATCCAGAGAATAAACATAGCTTCATTCTGAATGTTTGTAGAGATTAATTTATTAGGGACCGTATCGAATTCGTTGTTTTTGACTAACAAGGGACATCACCCAATTGATACACGCCGATTTTGATGAAATTTTTATATGTTATAGAACTCGAAAAAATATTTGACACGTATTTTTTTTTATCGGCAAACATCCACTCTGAAGTGGTGAAAATAACCCTTAAAGTTGGGGATGAAGAAACTATTTTCGTAAATATCTCGGGAACCATTAGGCCTAGACGAAAAATTCAAAGTGCAAATTTTTCTGTTTTTAAAGGCCAATAATATGGTATAAGTGGAGTTTTGAAAAATTTATTTATTTAGAAAATATGTTAAAAATTAACATTATTTTGCAAATTTTTTTAATAAAACGTTGTTCCATCTTGATCAAATTTCACATACATAAACTATGAGTCCAAAGAAAAAATACGGATCAATTGGAATTTTTAATTTCGCTTGCGGAAAAAATATTACTGTCCTTGAAGTTATACGTACATTTTATACCTTCCGTTCGGTTCACGACTGACTTCTATACATAGTATTCTGGCAATTGTATTATATTATATTTTTTATTCTAATTCGTTTAAAAAAAGAATCTAAGAGTCCATAAGTGCCTCTATAAAAATATGGGGACAGAGTCAGGTATCCTATATGTTCCGCGTTATGGGCACGTACTGGTGGCAGTGTTCGACGCACGGAAGATCTAAACGCGTAAATTGTATTTCTGTCAAGTGATAATTTAGAGCACATGCAATTAAAGGAATTGCATCTGTTGATAGGAAGGGGCATCGATCCGCATCACCCGAAGATCTCCTCCGCCAAGCGCAGAACGATCAGACTAATTTTGTATTTCATACGCTCCAGTTCGCTCTTATAAAAAGTACTTTGACAATTATCTGAATAAATAGTTGGACTTAGTCGTTTTTCCATCTTAAATCTGTTTCGAATCATTTCTACACACCGCGAGCAGAGCGCTCAGCGCTCCACGGGTTAACTTACCCACATCCCAAAATCCCTAGACCGCGGACGGTAAACGCAACAATATATTTATATATTTATGCATAGTAGCATAGTAGATATTATTTTAATACAAATAATAAATTAATTGTACAATATAAGGAAAATAATATATAAAAATCTTCGATTTTAAAGAATCGCAGAAACACGGTGTGGTAGTACAGGATCGTGACAGGTGGTAAGAAAATTCTACCCTAGTGTACGTACTACGTATTACATATCCTTGGTACACGCTCAAATTTGTCAAACGAGCATAGGAAATTGTTTCTCCTAGATCGGTTTTGCAGTTCTCGTCTTTCATCGTATCGGTGTTGAGTTTTAGAAAGAAGATAATGACGTTGCAACGCGCATTTTTTATATTTCGTAATGTTAGTAATTCCATTAAAGTGGACGCAGAAACCAGAATACATGTTCGATCAAGAACAACGACGCCTTCAGGCGCCATTCTTCCAGAGCCGAAAAGGACACGTTTTGGATTCTTGGGTGTTATTTGCAGTGTCATGACAGGATTGGTTATCGGAGCCACTCTGAGCAAAATGATGGCTAATTTTTTGGAAGAGAAAGAACTGTTCGTACCGTCAGACGACGACGATGACGACGATTAATTATAATCGTTTCACGCATAAAATAGATGGCTTTATCAAAAGATTTACTTTCTTTCGCGTATTTTATGGTTCAGTCATTGTTAATTATCGAATCTCTCCTTAGAGTGTTTTTCGCGTAATGTATCGCTACCAAGTTACTTGCAATTTTGCAACGTTACTACAAACTGGCAAATTACCTGGATAACTTTGTCATACATGTACGTACAGACGTACATTTTTCATTCGATTCCTTCTTACGTATGTAGGTATACGAAAGCGTCCTATTTTGCCAATTTTATTCGAATTAAAATGGAAAGAAAGAATACATACATATATTATTTAATAATCTTTTCTGATAAACGAAAAGAGAAGATACGTGTACAAATATATCGCTATATATGTTATTTCAAGTTGCGTAAAGAAAATGTACATACCAGACACGCATGTATGCACGTAAAATATTTTGTAAATAACTTAATTGGGTTTGCGAATGGAATAGAAATAAAAAATGTCTGTGGCAGCAACGTTTCTCGGGCATTATTATTGCTTCGTTTCGATGAAAAAAGTAATAAAAAAAAAAAAAAAAAAACATTTAAAATAATGCAGAAAGGAAAAGTGTGCTTCGATACAGCAGTAGTAATACCGTAATACACTTTTACTCGCAAATACGATGTAATAAACTCGTATTACGAATAATCATGTATAAACGTGTTCCATATTCTTATCCTTAAAACTCGTCAGAAACAATATCGATATATGTGTATCATAGAAAACCAAGTTTTATTAAACGTCTTATTGAGGCGACCTTTTATGCGAACTCCAGCCGTGGAAACACTTAGTGAACCTTCGAGATTCCTTTCCTTTTGCGGTCAAAAACAATTTTCGTGGTTTGTCCGGTTGCTTTGCTCGCAAATGTTGAATGTATACCTACAAATCAATGTTATCTCTTTATATCGTCGATGTCTTATCGTATTTCATTTATTTACGCTACAAGTAGTAAGCCGCGCAAACAACAAATCGCGCGATCGGTTCAACATTTTTTACCTGAGCAGATTTATAAGCCAATTTAATTTCTACTTCCGAACAACGACTTCCTAGCCACAGAAATACTTGTTCACCGTTATCAAGTATCATAATATCATCGTCCGCTAGGTCATCCTAGAACAATATATTAACTTGTACAGATATCGAAGTACGTACGCGCAACGTTGTCCGTAAATATTCGTAATACGGTGTACATTGCGTATAATACGTAATAAATTTGTTCTGTACTTGACAAAAATCGGCGCATTTCTCGCTAATCGTAAAATATCCTTTCTCATTCGAACATCTGAATAATCTAGTGTAGTTCATGTATTCCGCATCGGTGTCGTATGGCTTTTTTCCACCGAGAGCTACCCAGAAAAAGTTATCAGGTTCTTCGCCTTCGTTCAAAACTTGCAAACTAATCCATGGCTATTAATTAAGCGGAACAATAAAAATATAAGTAACTTTTGTCACGAAGCATCGTAAAAATTATAAATCGTGCACACAATATCCACGACACTTACGTTATTGAACATTTCTTCGGCAATTTCTTCGATCAAACGAGCTTCGTCGCTGTCCGCTTTCGAGCCGATCCAAGCGTATACTATTCCAGTTTCGTCGTCGTTATTGAACGGTACATTTAAGATGTAGCTATAAAACGAATGCGATCTTGACACGACGATACGCGTTATATTCGGTACAGATAAGTTCCGGAAGAAAAACGAATTTTACGATCTTACCAGAACGAAGAGTTGAGTAACGTCGAATCGGCTGGTATTTGTATCAACCTCGTACACAGCGCGCTTCCGTTACTTCTGAGATGATAAAATTCAACCTTGTTGTCGTTACACGATTTGGGCTGTTTACGCTTACCGCGATGTATAATGAATTTTCTTTTAAAATACGCTAAAAATTTTAAATTCTCTTGTTGCTGATGAGTTCTAACCACTTCCAGATTCTCACCGAACAGTGATTTAAACTTTTTCTGTAAGCTGAAAACGCGTTCCCGTTAATATATCATTGTATCCGATCATGTTCTTGCGTAAGATCTTAATCCCACGGTCGTGGAAGAAACGTTTGCTCGTTCTACCTAAACGTGAACGTTAACCATCCCATGTTTCCTGCGTCTCTGCCTTGCCAAAAATATACCGTGCACTGATAATCTTCTTCGAATTGATCTTCGCCGTCTTCGTTTTCAGCGGTATCCAACGGCTGGAATCGATTAAAAGAAAAAAAAAGAAAAAAAAAAAGATTCATTAACAATAACGAGATCATCCTTACCCATATATATATATCGCGAATCCATTCGATTCGATCACGGTACAACGAACGAGGGAACGAAATCGTTACGTACCATCCAATAACGGCATAGAAATACGTAACAATCGCCGCTATAAAAATGACCTAATTCTTCTTCGGGTAAACGTACGAATTTCTTCCCTTCTAAAACTAACGCCTCCATTCCTTCCAAATCGTCATTCCATTCGGACATGAGTTGCTGCGCTTCCGCGAACGACATCGACGGTTGTCTGGGCATAAAGAGCGCAGCTAGATCGGCCTATCGAGAATAGAAAAAAAAAAAAGAAAATGGTTTTTTTTTTTTATTTTTTGCTACGCGCAGTTTCTTTTTTCTTTTACCTTCGTTTCCTGTTGTTTCGCCCATTTCGTAAGATCCGCGCCAGTTTTAGCGACCGATTCGGCAGTTCTAGTAAAATCAACGGCTATAACTTCGTCCCAACCGGTGAATTTAGACTTAAATATCTAACGAGAAAAAGGATATATATATATGTAACATGTCGTACGACAAACACATCGTCAAGCGATTCGGCAAATATCGATTCGAAACGCGTACCTGAGACTCCGTTCCTTCTTGCAATCTTGTTACCATAGCGTATTCCGGTCGTTCTATCATGTTAAACAATTCTTGAGAAAGCTTAACGGCAGCAGCTCGTACCAATCTTGTCGACTTCTTGCCAAACCTACGGTCAATAATCCGAGATATTCGCATTAGAAGTTACATTCGTTTATTCACCCGTAATATCCGGAACATCATAAACGTTTACCAAACATAAACATCCAAATGGCAATCCAATATATACACGTTACGATTGTTCAACAGCGTATTCGTTAACTTTCCGTGAGGCACTTCAACCTGTGGTAACTCTAAATAACCCATACCAAGTTGAACTTGATACAGTCGCGGCGTAAACGGTAGAAAATTGGAATCTACGTGTTCCTACCAAGGAGGGGGAAAAAAATTGATTTTAATAATTCGAGTCGCAAAGAGAATTATCTTTTACAACGTAATAATTGGAATACGAAAATAAATTTAAACTTACAATAATCGGTGGTAGTCGAGAAACATCTTTAACATTCAAACGAGAGAGAAAATCGTCAGACTCGGAAGTCATTAGCTCCGTTAAAATTTCTGCTTTGTTCTTCCTTTCGTTTTTATTTATTTTCTCCGCCATCAATCTCGCCTTCGATTTCAACGTGCTCTTCGCATTCTTACCGTACCATATGAAAATCTTATAACCAGAATCCAGAACAAATACAAAACCCGGATCCAGAGAATCGAAACGTACCGGAACCGGCTCTAAATGAATCGAAGCACCGGCAGCGTGGACTCTATAAAGTCGCGTTATCGACGGCTGCACGACCGATCGAACGATCAAAATTAACTCAAAGAACACGATTAAGCACGCCAACGTATATGAAATTTGATTTTATACGAACCGTATCTTCGACCGTGTAAAAACCAGACGAGGTACGTCCACCTTCTATATACGTGATACCAGACTCGAACAACATTAAAAATTCATCCGATTCCTCGCCCTGTTCTTCTCTGATAGTACGACATTGTGCACCTAGATAGTTACGTAAGTTTACGGCATGAATCGCAGCACAGGCCCTTTTGTCCAGCTAGAACGGTACATCGAAAAGTACGTTAAACCTTCTTTGCCTTGAACGATATTTTCATCGAGTTAATATCATCGTAAACGTACCGTAGCCTTTTCTCCGATCCAAAAATAAATCGCCCACACCAGAGATCCAGCTTCATCGATCTCGGTCTTCAAAACGATGTAACAATCCCCTTCGTAAAATTTTCCATGCGCTACCTCTTCTATCTCGTTTGGTAGAAAATTTTCGATTTCCCAAACGGACAGTCCAGGCACCTGACCGGCGTCTTCGTCAAAAAATTCGGAATAATCCAAAGGTGGTTTTTCCAAGGTTTCGTCCCATCGTTTCGGTCTGTAGGTATATATATGTATATATATATATATATATATACACATGTCGTTGAAAAACAACACGTAACGTTTGTTATACTCCTTTCGTGCTTACTTTAACGATTCCGTTTTAGACTCTTCGCACTCTTTGTCCTTATTCTTCTCTTTCGCAATATCTTTCATACCCTAAGCGGGGGAAAAAAAAAACTTTTATGGTCATTCATTCGTTGCTGACACGCGGTGTGCAACGACACAACACGAAACGTACCTTCAATATTTTCGCTTGATCTTGATCAGCTTCTTCTTGATCTCTTCTTCTTCGCAGTCTCATTTTACGGGCTATCGGATCTTTACTACCTGACAAACGAACAATAGAAATCATTAGGTAAAACAAAACATTTTGTACGAGGAGCAGACTCACTAGCCGTTTGCGTCGGTGTAGGAACATTAGCGCCGGCAAGTCGCAGTTGATGTTGCAAAGAAAAATCAATGTTATAAAATTCTATTCCGGAGCCTTTTTGAGCTTCGATAGGTTTCGGTGGCATTACCAAATTTGGATTATCTCTTAAGTCCAATTGTTCCAAATCGGTAAGAAGATGAATAGCGTCTGGTACGGTGATTAATCGGTTCGACGAGAGTATTAATCTTTTTAACGAACCGCACCTAGAAAGCATAGACACGCGTGTTTCTTGCTTACTTTTAAGATCCGTAAAAAATTCTCGCGACATCGATTCGATCGAAAAAACGTTCTAATAAGGAAAAAAGAAAGGAAAGATCATCGAAGTACCTGCACAATCCTTCCGGTATCATTTCCAAGTGATTATTAGCCGCTGAAAACACTTGTAACGACGACAATTTGCCAATTCCCGAAGGAATACCTTCAAAATCTAATTGATTATCGTTTAAGTATAGTCTCCTTAAGGTAACGATTTTACATAGAGAAGCAGGTATCGCTGTCAATTTATTACGACAAATATTTAATATCTCTAATTTGGTCCACAATTCTAAAATAAAAATTGATTAACATATCTGTCAGGATTATCGTATAATCGTGGAGTAAAGTAATTACCGATCGCTGTAGACAATTCAGTTATTTCGTTATCGCTTAAATTTAAACGACGCAGATTTAGTAAGGAATACAGCGCGTCCGGTACTCGAGGTAAATTATTTTGCGATAAATCAAGTTCTTGTAGATTCGTCAAGGTTTCCAAGCTCGACGGAATATTGTTTAAAGTACGTTGAGTATCGCGCATCTGTAGAGTCGTTAAATTCATCAAAGATGGCAGTTGTCTAAATAGAAAAAATAACAGTATCTTTCAAAATATTCCCAGACGCGTATACTTCGTTTATGCGAATCGCGTATCACCTCAACTGAAAATGTCCTAACGGATTATGATTTAAATTTAAACTTTGCAAGTTGGCCAACCGACGAGTCTGCGGTGGCAACGTTTCTAACTTATTATTACTGAGGTCCAGAAACAACAAGTCTGTCAGATGAATGAACAACGTGTTCGGAATCGTATCGATACTACGAAAAACAAAAAACGTAATGGTTAGGTTAGCGATGATGGATCTCCAGTAAAGAAAAGAAAAAATTACGTACACAATACTCACTGATTATGGCTCAAATTAAGATTCAACAACGAACGAGCTCGCTCCAATCCATCCGGTACTTCTTTCAAGTTATTACGACTCAGATCTAGCGTAGTCAATTCTTCTAAATGAAAGAGTTCCGCCGGAATGCCACTGGACTTGATATTGTTGCGTCTAATATTCAATGTTCTAAGACAACCGAGTTCCGTCAATTCGCCGTACAAACGCTCCAGCTTATTTTTAACCAACGAAAGATGTTCCTATTCGAAATATATATATTACCATGCATCGTCGCTTACGTCCATCGTATCCCTAACTTTATTACGATTTAAACGATAAATTACCAGTTTTAACAGTTTACCCATTTCCTCCGGAATCTCCGTTAAGTTGGTTTCGTTCAATTTCAACCATTGTATACCGGTCATAAGACGCACCGACTCTGGAAATTTACCATTCTGGAAAAAGTAAAAAAACTCCTTCGAACTCTCAGTGTCTTCGATACAAAGCATATTCGAAAACGCGATATGCAATACTTACTCCGAAATCGTTACTACTGAAATCGATACCACGCACAAACGGTAATACCCCGGTGTTTGCCATGTTAGGAATTATTTAAATACACAACTATCCTTTCGTATAAATACCGTACATTGGACGACTACAATCCCATCTGTAACAGATTAATATTATTATTATTATTCGTAAGCGATTCGTAAGCGAAATATTCTAAATAAATAGTTATATATTTTGGATCCCGAAAAATAAAAGTCAAAATCGTTTGGTTTTATGCATTTATACGTTGCTTATTTATATACGAACACATAATATATCGCAGACGATATCTGGTATAACCTTTATTACCACTTGGAAAACGTTAATATATTATCTGATTACAATAAAAACGATCCTCACGATTATAGAAATTTCTACTGAAAATATCCAAGATATAGTTGTAATTACAAATTACATATACAATAGATAATACATATACCGCATTACGCGAGTTAGTAGCAACGAACTCTACTACCTATACCGTGAACTTGTCTTTTAAAAATTTATCGAATTATCACGCATCGAGCAGCGTTTATCAAATATTTATATTAAATCTCGTCATATAGTTACTGTAATCTATGGAATTAAGAATAATATATGTATATATATAGATATATATATACATGTAAATACATAATTATACAAAAGAAACTAAAATCGACCAGTCCGATGGGTTGGTACAAGATTAGTAACTACAACCGACACGCATGCGTGTTTGCAATATCCGTGACACGAAACTTGTACAACCAGAGTCTTTTATTTGTCTATATTTGCCGAATTATCGGTTCTTCAGCTTACTCGGATATTCTTGCCCTCCATGTATATATGACTGATCTAGATAAAAGCGGATCACGGTTAGACAACAATACTCTTCCGCCGGACGAGTTTGGTATAGGGACTTTTATCAGTGACTAGAACACGCGTGAGCACAAGGCGATAATCGAACGAGTGTGGAGAAGAGTGTGCGAAGGAATCGTCGTATGTAGCTTGAGACGGCGTGAATCGCCATATATTTATCTCGAAGAACGACTAGTCGACAAGGGTCGATGTTAAAATTTTAGTTTTAAAAATTAAACAAGTCGAGCAGCATTTATAAATTTATTCTTTCATTCGTTTGCTAGTGTCAATTGTTTTCGTATATGGCTTCAGTCGAAGAAGTGGATCAATTGGATAGCGGTATGGGTAGTAGCGACGCACGTTCTCCCGAAGTGAAATCGCTTCTGCCCGATGATGAAGACGACGAAGAGGTATTTAACGATGGCAAAGAAACGTGTATATAAATATATATATTCATACATTTACGATTCTTATTTCTTGTCTCGAACGTTACATTCTTATTATCTCTTTACTTTATCTATAATGCTACATAATAGTGATGATTTTGTAGATGTTAACCTCTACAAGTTAACCAAACTTTCTAATTGAAGAAAAGATTTTTTTTTTCCCTTTTTTTTTGCATATACCTAACAGATATTTAAAACGTTGTATCTACGATTTTTTGCACGTATCGTATGTACGCTAATTCGATGTGTCGAAACGTTTAACGATATTGTTCATTTTATTTCACTTTCAGGATGAGAGCTTGGCAGAACGATTGTTAGGTCTGACTGAAATGTTTCCGGAAGAAGTACGTAATTTTGGATATAACGTTGGTACTTGTTTGTGCAATTGCATGAAAGGTGAGCAGCGATAAATGTCACAAATATCTATAATAACGATTACTCGTTATCATTCCGTAGAATGATAAACGCGCATAAATTTTTCTATAAAACATTATTTTCCTTGCAGGGTTATATACGTTTTCCTGTTCAGCCGCATGGTTGTTCTTCAGTTCGTCAGCTATTTTGTTCGCACCAATATTATTCGAGATAGAACGAGTGCAGTTGGAAGAAGCACAGCGCACGCAACAGAAACAAGTCTTGTTAGGACCAAGCAAAGCCATGTCGAATGTCAATGCTTCGAGTCTTCCAATGGCTCCACCGGTACAGCGATAATAACGATATAAAAATCGTTGCATTTGAATTACCACGCGTGAACCCCCAGCCCTGTTCACAATTTGTATTTATTAGCATAATTCCACCCTGTTGTTATTTTTCATCGATTCTTGTACACGTATGTAGACCGTTATAGTATCACGTATTAGGAAACCCTAAGGAAATTCAAAATTCGAAATAAAAATTTAGATTTCAACAAGTAACGGACACTTTGTATGCTCGCGTGTCACTGCATTTAAAGAAATCATCTTTATTTTATCTGCTGCGAAGCAGGTGAAAAACAATTTTAATACTTTAATACATGTAATCTGTTCTCATAAAAAAAAAAGAAATTATTTTGTTGTGTTTGTAATATGCGAAAACCAATATACATAAGTTATTGTAATATATATCGAACGGAATTAACATCGAATCTGGTAATCGCTGTGTATTCCTTATTAAACAAATAAATACTAATGCGTACGAAAGTTTAAAATTGTTATAAAGTATAGTACTAGTTACGTATTCCTATGTTGCGTGTACTTTACCTACATTTACCCAAGTTATACGAAAATTATTGCATCGTTGTTCTCGACATATAGTTGAACATTTAAGCAAACGATTGGAATTAGGTTTTTCGTCCAATTATCTCGTTAGTAGTAAAAATATATTTATTCGCTTATTCATTTATTTTGTGGTGTAAAACGGAAAGGCTAGATATTCGAAAGAAAATAAAGATATTCATCCTTTGTCACAACTTATGTATATGTAACGTCCATTTTAGTATTAAGATGCAAAATATGATCCGCAGAGAATATAAACTCGACGAAACAATCAACATGTATTAACTCCAATGCACCCGTACATTCTTGTATAGTAAGAATGTCCGAGGCAGGAAACCAGTTTGAGGGAATAAAGCATTAGGCATGAGACGCGAGAGGTGCAAATCGGTCGAGTCCTACGATTCGGAATTGCCAACGGCGGACAGTCATTGAACAACACGAATGAAGTCACGCAAGACGTAGCAGTAGTGGAGCAGTGCCAACCTCAGAATGGTTGATCCGTAGGAACTCAATACTGCACACTCGAAAATGTGGAAGAAAATCATAGAATATATTGTTGCGTTTACCGTCCGCGGTCTAGGGATTTTGGGATGTGGGTAAGTTAACCCGTGGAGCGCTGAGGCGCTCTGCTCGCGGTGTGCAGTAATGATTCGAGACGGATTTAAGATGGAAAACGACTAAGTCCAACTATTTATTTAGAAAATTATCAAAGTACTTTTTACAAAGCGAACTGGTGCGTAAGGAATACAAAATTAGTCTGATCGTTCTGCGCTTGGCGGAGGAGATCTTCGGGTGATGCGGATCGATGCCCCTTCCTCGCTGGATCCTGGATCCTCCCTCAGGATCATCCCTTGTCCAATGGTGGAGGAGTCCACCCCCGTCCGATGTGGGCCCCTTCTCCTGGCTGTGGTCCACCCTCAGCCGCGTGGTGGTGGAGGCTCCGCCAAGACGCGGGAACGTAACATTGAACATGTGCGTAGAGAAAGCGTGAGACCCAGAGAACGCGAAAACAAAGTCCTTGTATTAGGCGAAAATTTACGACCCTCTTCGAGTGCATGAAAAGACAGGATATTCGTGAGAGATCTTGAAACCTTCAAGAACTGTACGCGACTTAGTCGAAAACAACATATTCGATACGGTCCCTAATAAATTAATCTCTACAAACATTCAAAGTGAAGCTACGTTTATTCTCTGGATTCCCAAACTTTCCCAAGCATGAACACCCACGTCGAGTGGCTTTAACAATATAAGCTTTGTCTATTGTACATGATCGCACGCTCAGATAGTTTAAATTTCGCTCTTAATTTATGGTCATCGATATAACAAAGTACAGACGCGCTCTGTAAATATCCTCACGGTCGTGTTGCCATACTACAATGACTATATTCAGGATGATAACAAGTACTTACGCTCGCGTTACACCTCCCCCCTTATTTAAAAAGGTGTTTTCATAAAACAACTTTTCTATATCCATACGCCTTAATAGTAGTTGCATATACAATATTAACATTATGTGGTGCTTTTCTCATACAAGGTTCATACAAAAGGTGAGCAAACAGTTAAGTCTATTTAACATCCAAGGTATCTTATTACATACGTGTCACAAATACGAGCAACGAGATGCTTAACAGTCTCCAATTATCATACAAGTTGCAACGAACATAACCATACTAGTTTAAGCAGATCCGTGTACATAGTGACAGAGTCTAGAGTCTAGACTATATTTAGCAGTATTTCAATTACGCGAATACAATATGAGCACATGTGTACAAAGATATGAACGGAGTAGCAAACTTTATTAATTTAATCTGAATTTCCGTCAGTGATAACCTCTGGTCTAATATGCGCTAATTTGAGTTTGTTTGCATGAACAATCTTAAATTTATTTTTCCCTATTTCTAATTCCATAGTTAAATCATCAAACTTCCGATTTATTTTGTAAGGACCAAGCCAATCACAGTCAAATTTTGAGGTTCGAGGTTCTTTGAGTAGATATACAAGATCGTTTATTTCGAACGTGCGCGGATTAAGCGTTTGGTCATAATATTAAGGCAAGATGGGTCGCGGCGTAGGAGAGGCAACCTGAAAATGCGAGGGATTTCAAAACTGCCAACACGAAGTAGTCATGGAGCAGCTAGATTCTAGATGGTCATGAGGCAATAACGCAGCAGAGCCAACCTCGAAGAGCGAACGAATTCGAAACCGCCAACCTGCGAGCTACGCTGCCGCCTTTAGGAATAGCCAACCTCTAAAACAAAAAATGCGACGAAAATACGAAAAGACCTCGAAAAAGACAAGAAAATTTCGAAAAGCCTCGGAAAATGAAAGAAAACGAATAAAAAGCGATAAAAAAAGAAGAAAAGAAATCGATTTGGCGGTATTTTAACGAAACGAAGGAAATGTGAATTGGTATAGATATCAATGTGAACGGGACAGAGGAATCAATGTGAATAGGTAGAGGCACTCATGTGAACTGGTATAGGCATCAATGTGAACGGGTAAAGGCACCAATGTGAACGAAACCTCGGCGGCTCTCCATGGTCAGTGCTTTGGAAGCATCGGCGCGAACGGGTGTTTCGGTGGTGCCAACCTGAAAGAGTAAAGGTAACGAGCACTGCCAACCTGAAGGATACATTGCCGCAATTCAGAATAGCCAACCTCAGTGAGTACGAGAGTACCTGGAACGAAGTTGGTCAACTAGCCTCACTGCACAAATGCCAACTGTATACTAATTGCAACAAGGAAAGACTGCCAACGTAATTGACGAACAAAAAGAAATCGCCACCTAAGTACTGCCAAACACATTGAGTCACAGAATATCGGCGATCTAGACGGCTGTGCGCCGGCAAGCAGCAACTCAAAAGCGCCAACCTGATGGAAATTGCGCGAGCGAAGGATTGGCAATATAAGTGTGGTGCGACGTTCGGCAGCATTGAAAAATTTAACGAGTCAGTCACTGAGCAGCGGGAAGCGAGATGCTCGGGAAAATTGTCACCACGATGGGCATCGAGGCAGTGAAGGATTGCCAACATTATTAGTGGACCAGATGTGAATGCTACTTCAGCACTGCCAACCCGAACGTCGCTTAGTGTTGCGATTCTTCTTGTTGAATTTAGGGATTTTGTTGGCGAGGTTCAATTCTCAAGAAGCGCTTGGGCGCTTGGTTTAATTCCGCGATTTAATCAAACAACAAAAAGGAAAAATAAATAAACTAATTGGAACTTGAAATGAATTAAATAAACTAAACAACTAAATTAAACTTTTTGAACTTCTTTAATGAACTTTAACAAAGATTAACTTTTAAACTAATTTAAATGAAACTGAATTAACAAAACGAATTTTAATATATTGTTCTACTAAGTGAAGAATACGTGTGTTACTTTCTAGCTCTGAGAATTGAATGAATAAATCAGATTTCTAATTGAAAATCAAGGATAATTATGAATTTGTTTTACAATTTGTTTCATTTTCTCCAATAAAATTAATATTTATAATTAAAATGTTGTTAATTGGCTGCCTTATCATCCTTCACTTATTAGATAAGAGTTTTTACAAGTAGTCTTTGATTTCAGCTTACAATTTATCAAATACACTCTGTGTTCTTCTTCAACTGCACCTTTTTACAATCTAAATTTTGCGCGTTTAAGTTACATATTTTTGTCGCTAGATTGCGCCGCTTTTACATTATGTTTCGCTTCTTCTATGTTCATAGAGAATTAAATTAGCAACGAATCCCAGCACACCCCGAACGTCGCTTAGCACTGATGCAATGGTGCCAACGCCGTAGAGTCACGGAGGAAATGTGATGTAGATGGTCGTGTGTCAGTAACCGCAGCACTGCCAACATGACGGCTAAAGCGGTAGAGAAGGACTGCCAACCTGAAAAATCGGTCCTCGACAACAATTCAGAACTACCAACCTAAAAGGCGCTTGACCGAAGCAGTGGAATGTTCGCAACAGTTATGAGTGACGCAGCAACGCGAAGCGAGACGGCTGTAGGTGTAGACTGTAGAAAAACGAAGGCTAAAAATACAAAGGAATGTAGTACTGCGAAGTATAATCAGTCATTGAGCAATGGTAACGAAGATGGCCGTGCCTCAGTACCCGCAGAACTACCAACTTAATGGACAACGAGTCGCTGAAGGTCTGCCAACCTAATCCCCGAACCGGAAGTGCGCAACAGGTAAGTGGTGCCAACCGAAATCCGGGAAGCGGTAGCGTGAATCGGCCTTTTCCAAGATGGCGGACCGACGCTACGACGCACGTGCCGGCGCTGCTGCAAAAATCGTGAAAACGTGGAAAATTCGGTGAAATTGTGCCGTGCAGTGCCGTGAAAGTGTTGTGGGAGTGCCGTGGAGTGTCTGTGAGTGCCGTGCGTGCAGTGGGTGCCGTGGAACGTGTGTTTTCGTGCGCGGGTGCAGTGCGTGCCACGTGGCGGGTGCAGTGCAACCGGT